TCAACTCCACAGGAGATAAACAATACCTCAAGTAACCAGGCTTGATGCCATGTAGACTTTATAAGTTATGACCAGTGAATCATACCTAGAAGCAAACCCATAACCAGTGCAGCTCATGAAGCATGACATACTGAGGTATGGCTATCACTGCCAATGTCACTGCATTCTGATTAGTTGTAATTTCAAGTGGTCTTCAAGGGCGGCCCCTGTGTAAAGTACATTGTAGTAACTGAACTGTGATGTGCCTAGGGTATTAGTGACTAGGGAAAGGGTATCCTGATCTCAGATAAGCACAGCTGGCCCACCAGATGAAGTTCTGCAAAGGCCTTCCTGCACATAGCTGCCATCTGTTCATTTAAGAAAAAATGCAAGTTTAGGAAGAAAGAAGTGTCCTACCCATGCAATGTTAAAGATGGAATTTTCTAGATCTAAGTGGTCCTAACATGCACAGCCACTTAGTCTTGGAAGGATTGAGCTGGAGATGGTTCCTCTCCATCCAACCCTACATAATTTTCAGGCACTGGGATAGAATCTTAGCAACTCACCCAGCTGGCTTGGAATCAAAATATATAATTGGATATCACCAGCCAACTGATGATATCAAACCCCAAACCAGTGAATCATCTGACCAAGTAATTCCATGTAGACATTGAATAGGAGGAGAGAGGGAGAGGGAGAGGGACACAGAGAGAGAGAGAGAGTCAGATCCTGTACCACACACAGAGAGGGGGGGGGTCTAGGAAGTAAATCCCCCACAAGCCAATACCAACTGGAACCTGCCCTGGAAGAAGTAAGAGAACCACAATAAAACAGTGGTCCCTGTTTCCAACCCCCAGAGTTGGCCCAGAAGGATATTGTGGTCAATGGCATCAAAAGCCAGTGAGAGACCAATGAGCATAAGGATTAATTCACCATCTCCACCTCAGGCTCCATCTCAGATCATCAACATGTGCAACCAAGGCTGTCTCCATATAAAGTCCTAGCCTGAAATCCAAGTGAAATGGATTTTTATTCTATTCAGTCACCTCTATTTTCATATGCTATTTTTACCCCATTATTTTTATTTTTATTTCTTTCACAAATATATATATATATATATTATTCCTCATCCCACTTGACATTTGAAATAGACTTTGTTTGGAAGGGCATAGAATTTTTTTAAAAATAAAATAAATGACCATGGCTTCCAGGATATTTTCTTGTATGCTTGTATTGTAGTGATCTGAGTATAACCCAGATTGTAGCACCATCCCACTGTGCTCAGCAATGAGATCAAATGTGTACTCTCTATTTGCCCCATGCTGACCTATATTCAACAGGCAGTTCTTCCATTCCATGTTCAAATCTAATGACAATAGTCATTAGATCATGTGAGTGCATTCTACAGTTTATTTCTTAAAAATGTTTGGACTCTATGGTTAGGGAGAAGTGATGATAGCAATGTTCATTTTGAGAGATCAAAATCTTTGAAGAAACCCTAGACCTCAACATATCCCACTTTCAACTACATTTATGGCACAAATTAAATATATGTGAAGAAGAAACAATATGTCAGGGTCCAAAAACAAAGAGAAACATTGAGATTCTTCTGAGCTTATTTCTTTAGTGTTTCTCATCTATAGATAGAAATCTTGCCAAACTAAAGCAGATCATGTGATCACATATAGAGCAGACAACTATTAGTAAAAAGCCATTTTCACCCTCTTCCTGTCCTGCAAACCACGTAAACTACATTGTCTTTTGCTCCTCTGGAATGCACGTCCTGTCTCCTGGGAATTTGACAACATTCTATCACACAATGTGGAGTTGATCCATAACTTGGAGAAGGGAGAAGGAGAACTCCAAACTTCAAGGGAGATCTTACAAATCTGTGCATAAGCTTGGTGTGCTCTCCAGACTTGCAAGTTTTGTTCTTGGAGTTCTGGTTTGGATACTGTGTTCTAATTTGCTTTCGGTTACCTGCTTCAGCTCTCCCAATATGAAAAAGGAACTATATATGTGCCTGATGGTAGCACCATAGGGAGAAGAAGAAAAAGTCATGGATTCATCCTCTTAGTTACTGTAGATGTCTGTTCTCCTCTTACTCTTCCCCAAAAAGATATTTCTCTATTCCTATGAACTTCTTTTGCTCTTTTCATTCTTTTCTTTTATCTTGGAATTCTGGGGAATCTCTGCAGTTACCATTACAGCACCTCAGAATAGCAAAGAGTATAAAAAATATTTTATTCAGAAAGGAGTCAATATTCAGTCTTTGTTAGCATAAAAGAAATGTCTATGGATGCTTATGTGCATCGATAAAAATGCAAAAGATAGAATAGAAGAATAGAATAGAATAGAATAGAATAGAATAGAATAGAATAGAATAGAATAGAATAGAATAGAATAGAATAGAATTCTTTATTGGCCAAGTGTGATTGGACACACAAGGAAATTGTCTTTGGTGTATATGCTTTCAGTATACATAAGGAGAATCTGAACAATCTCTGAAGAAACAGCAACTGTGAAATGTTAGTAGGGAAAAAAAGGTACCCCACAGTTAAATGTGGAGTGGCAATACAATGGGTAGTAATGTGCATTGGTTAGTAGAAAAAAATGCACTAGCAATCACCCAAATGGAGGATCAAATTTTGAGAGGAGACTTAAAAGAGACCAAACAATCTTCCTGTTGTGCTTGCCAAAAAATGTTATTACTGCAAATGGAAATTATGGCTTTACAGTGCTGAAGGCTTACTGTGATTGGTGATTTTTGCCACAAGGCAGATACTCTTGGGCATTACAGAAATGGAAGATTATTTATTAGAAAGCAGTTAAGGTGTTAGATCTAGCTGGAAAGTGAAAACTGACTTCAGCAGCTGATTTTTTTTTAAAGGGAGGATTTAAACAAAAATTAAAGTGATGTAACATTTTCTGAGGGCAAATGAAGGATGGACATTTCTGCATTCGTGGAAATGGCAAGAAAAAGAGACCAAGAACAAACAGACATTGGTGTTCTGTGAGGGAAATTAAGAAACTGCTTTTGTTATAGGTAAAGGTAAAGGTTCCCCTCACACACATGTGCTAGTCGTTCCCAACTCTAGGGGGCAGTGCTCATCTCCGTTTCAAAGCCAAAGAGCCAGCACTGTCTGAAGACATCTCCGTGATCATGTGGCCAGCATGACTAAGTGCCAAAGGTGCACAGAACACTGTTATCTTCCCACCAAAGGTCTCTATTTTTCTACTTGCTTTCGAACTGCTAGGTTGGCAGAAGCTGGCAAGTAATGGGAGCTCACTCCGTTACGTGGCACTAGGGATTCGAATTGCTGAACTGCCGACCTTTCAATTGATAAGCTCAGAGTCTTAGCCACTGAGCCACTGCAGTTAAAAGAAATGAGTTCACTTCAAAGAAAACAAGAGGGGAGGTTTTGTTTGACCTTCACTATGGGTTTTTGAAAAAAATTGGGAATGGCAGGGAAATTTCCCATCTTTGAAGAAGAGCTTGTCAAGTGCAGGTAGTCCTCGACTTACTACTACAACAATTGTGCCCAGAATTTCTATCATAATGTGTTGTGGACATAAGTTGAGTCTGACTGATTTTTCAACAATTTTCACAGTGGTCTTTAAGCAGATCGCTGTGTTGTTAAGCAAATCACATGGTCATTATGTGACTCCAGCTTCTCCAATGAGATGGGTTCATTTTTTGCTGGAAGTAGGCAAAAAGTTGCAAACTAGCAAATCACCAACTCCAAAGTAAATATGCACTTTTTCTTTTATAATTTTTCATATAGAATAAAATAGAATAGCAAAGTTGGAAAGGACGTTGGAGATCTTCTAGTCAAACCCCCTCTTAGGCAGAAAACCCTATACCCCTTCAGACAAATGGTTATCCAATCTCCTCTTAAAAACTTCCAGTGTTGGAGCATTCACAACTTCTGCAGGCAAGTTGTTCCACTGATTAATTGTTCTGTCAGGAAATTTCTCCTTAGTTCTAGGTTGCTTCTCTCTGTGATTAGTTTCCACCCATTGCTTCTTGTCCTACCCTCAGGTGCTTTGGAGAATAGCTTGACTCCCTCTTCTTTGTGGCAGCCCCTGAGATATTGCTGAGAACACTGCTATCATGTCACCCCTAGTCCTTCTTTCCATCAAACTAGACATACCAATTCCAGCAACCGTTCTTTATATGTTTTAGCTTCCAGTCCCCTAATCATCGTTGTTGCTCTACTCTGCACACTTTCTTGCTAATTGCTAATTTGTTCTGTTTTTAAGAGGTTTATCATCTTAAGAAACCATTTTTTTGGCTAACTTTTTAGTTAAGGGGAGGTTTTAATAATCATTTTTAGGAGACTATTTTACAAAAGTACTTTATTGTTGGAATATTTTTACAGTTTAAAAAAAAAGATGAATTGAAAAATGCAAATATCAGCACTGGAAGTATATTGTCTTCAAAGAAAAGTATTACAAATGGTTCATCAAATATTCTTGGGTTGGGTGGAGATATAAATTTATCTGAATGTTTAGAAAAGAGCACCATACAGCATGCTTAGGAAAGCATGCCGAAGGAAGTTAGTAACAAGAATGCTCAGTTCAAGAAATGATACTACACTGAATGTCCAGTCTTTTCAATTCAGGCAAACAGAGAATACTCGGAAAGGTGCTTTTGGGGGAGGCAGGCACAATGGATGCTAGGGGAGTTTTACTCTTCGGCATATTGTTACTGGCAGTAGCCACAATAACTACAGTGTGAAATAATTGGGAAATACTGTGTTCTCGTTGAGCTCAGGTTTTTAACTCTGATGTTGAGCAAATTGTAACAGCTTAATTTGCACTTAAAGTCATAAAAGAATGAAGCCCCCTATTTACAGCACACAAAAAAAATCTATTTAGCATTATAAGGGAACTAGGTTATCAGGACTCATTATGCCTAAACTATGATGCCTGTGAAATAAGTAACTTCCTACTGTTGTTTGAGAATTTTTTCAGCCATTCAGAGATTAATACAAAAGTAACGTCTTATCTTATTGCAGCCAGTCCCACGAATTACGATTCAGCCTGCCAGGATTGATGCCAGTCCTGCAAAAAGCCAACAGGTAGGTCCTTCTGAACTGTCCATGGTGCTGAATAACTACATTATTGTTACATGGAGATGGGAAGCAACAGTAATACCAAAACTACTACTAGAATAAGTAAAGAACTGAGTTTTCCAAAACATGGAGAAAGCTGTTATAGTTATTTATATGCTCGTGGTGCAGATTGGAGACATTTGTCTATGAATTATCCTGACTAAGCCCCAATGCATATTAAGCTTTCAGTGTCAGAAAGGGAAATCCCAGTTTATACCTTGATCCTGCATGAGCCAACCATTCTAATTGCTCAGTTTTCATAGATAAAGATCTAAGTCTTGTTGAATTATCAGTATCCTCTTGTAATATCATCACTAGTGTGTCCAGAGGCCAGCACAACCGCACTACTATGCCAAATAAGCAGTATTCCATGTTGTAGGTGTGCAACGGAATAAGAAATGGTTTGGGGGCTGTATCTCTCTCCTTATCTCAGATAATAGCACATTTTAGTTCGCATAATATCAGGTGATCCACAATTTTTCTTACGATTCTTCCTTTGCAAATATCATCTTGGAGTCTATTTCCTTGCTTCAGTTGCATCTACCGCACTAAAGTCAATTCTATTTTTCTGTCCTCCAAGGTCCTCTTGTAAGGACTGCACCTTCTTCTGCAGAAACATTCCTTTCCATGTGGCCTTAGATCAAAGATCTGAAGTTGCTGACTGGAATAGGGAATAGACGGAATGGGACTTTTAGTCTCCTACCTCCTTCTCCCCCAACGTTACTTTTTGGGCGATTCTCCTCTGATGTTTCTCTTTGACTGACACGCCCCTAGCTGTTCGCCCTAGCCAATGAACCTTGGACCCTCCATCCCAAATGCTTTGGCGTGGCCAATTCACAGAAGATGGGTTCATCTTGGGTTTTTCACCGCCTGGGACAGTTAGCTGACGGCTGCTATAAGCCAAACGCTTGTTAGGAGAAGGAACGGGAGGGGGTGGAAAGTAACAAAAAACAGGTTCTTGTCTCCCTTCCCTTTGAATGAAGCTGGGTACTTACCGCCCCTCCCCCCCCGCTCTTCCCGTCCTGTTCTTTGTTACTTTCCACCCCTTCCTGTTCCTTCTCCTAATGGCGGCTAACTCCCGGGCGGCGAAAAACCCAGGACGAACCCTCCTTCTGCGAATCGGCCATGCCAAAGCGTGTGGGACAGAGGGTGCCATGGCCCATTGGCCAGGGCGAACAACTAGAGGCGCGTCAGCCGAGGAGAAACGTCAGAGGAGAATCGCCTGAGGAGTAACGCTGGGGGAGAAGGAGGTACAGCCAAGGGTAGTAGACCCACGAATAGACAAGCAGCAAAGCTTATCAGGAGACATTGGAAAAAAAATCTCATGATCTCAAGAGTTTGCTGAGGGCATGGGCTGGCAAAAGCCCATGTTTTTTCAAAGTTGGCAAGTGCTACTTCATATTTATTATATTGGGCGTATATGTATGTATGTGTAGGTATATATATCATATGCATATTATGAACTGTTAAGCATCGAAAGAGTCATTAATTCTGAAAGTGGTGGGTTTGTAGTGTTGCGGTTAACACATTTGGGAAGGAAGCCATCCTTGGCATATGGAGTTACACAAGGTGATACTTGATTTGGAAATGATGATTTATGTCTTCTGTGAGTTAAGCCAAATAACTGGGAGAGACTTATAAATCTGGCTTGTTTCCCCACTTCACATAAATTGCCTCTTTCAAACAGCAAACATATCTTTCTGTAATATAAATGATCTTTTAGTAAATAATAGGAGTCATATTTCATGTGCTATGTGCATTTATATATTAATCCTACTAGACTTTCAGCCTATTAGCCAGACTGCCTCCTTTGAGCCTGTTAATGCTCTAGCATAGAAATAAGCCACACACTCATTAGTATGTTATTCATACTATTTATTTTTACATATTTATTAACATATTTTTAGTTTTCCCATCACCCTAAGGATCTCAAAGTGGATTACAAGCTATAAAATGCATAAGATAAATAAATAAATGAGCCAGATAAAATATGTAATTCCATAAGCTGATACATTCATCCATTTTGGATATCAATGTATCCTAAATCGTTAATTTTGAATGTCTCTTATCCCAAATCATAGTCTTCTTCAGACTAGGAGAATTCTCACATATTGAATAATGAGTGACACTTTCTTCATAGGGATGGGGAAAGGAACTTATGGACACTTGGTATTAATGAATGCAAGGCCTCTTGAGTTGTTGGTATACTCTTAAGAATTCCTGCATGGTATACTGGGACTACTTTCTCTCTGTCCATGTATTATATATCCAGTAGCAATTGCAGACAATATGTCAGCCTTATGAAGTAGACCAGCTAGGAAACATGACCAGATCAGCTAATTTCATTTTATTGTAAAGCTGCATTAAAATGAAAATACAATTCTCCTTTCCCCCACCCAAGCTCCTTAACAGCCTGAGAAACTCTCCAGTTGTGGGCCCGCTATCCAGCCTCAGTATGTTGTTTCTTACTCGGCCACACCTTTGGCACTGTTGCTTTTCCCCAGTTTCCCACAGTTTTTCCCCACATACCATTACATAGTGGGGGGCATATATGCTTCCTGGAAGGGAAAAAACAATAACAGCACAAGGAAGTACAGGGAGAGGAATATGCTCTCTCTGCTTCTTTAAATTACAGAAACTGTATCTCAGAATCCAAGATGCTGGAGATCAAAGGATATTCACTTCACCTCTGACTAAGCACTGTTAGAAAAGAGATAAAAAACCAGATGGATCTTGGATGATGCAGGAGGACTGCTCTTGTTTGCCCTTACCCAAATCCATCTTTCATCTTCAACTTCCTTCAAAATATAAATTAAAATGTTGCAAGCCTCTTTAGATATGGCAACAGAAGATGAACTAGAAAGACACAAATGTCTAGCTTATCTTTATTGTGTTGTTTTATGTTTTCTGAAATGTAACTTTGACAATCTCTGACCCTTTTCTGCTTCAGGTTACCCAAGGACAAGGAAGCAAAGGACCTTTTGAGGTGAGTTTGCAGTTGACCGAGTTGGGGAAGAACCTTGAAAAATCAACCAAAGTGCCTTTACAGCAGCCCACAGTGGACATCCAAGCACAAGATTCTCAAGAGGGTCCACCAAGTCCCTTGAGTGAAGCCTCCAGTGGATACTTCTCTCACAGTGTTTCTACAGCAACCCTTTCTGAAGCACTTGCATCAGGAAATGACCCCCATCTTCAACCCAGTAGTCAGATGTCCACCATAAATGATGCCTCCTCAAGTTCAACAACCCCTAAGGTGGTGTCTTCAACAGAGGGTCCTATAAAATCATGTTCTGATTTAGCTTCTCAATGTTGCCATTCTCTTCCAAAGAGGGATCCAGTTCTCTCTGGCCTTAAAGATGATCAAATTGACAAGGACAATGAGAAAGTGAGCCATAATGGCAACTTAAAATCAAGATCTGTTGATTCTGCCATTGCTCTAAATGATGATCAGGTTTCTCCTTCCCTAGTTACAGAGGATACACATTGCTGTTCTAGCTCTCCTAATAAGAAACAAATACAGTTGACAGAGACAGCAGTCTTATTACCATCAGAGAGTCCTCTTTCTGTCCCAAAGGAGGCTCCCATTTATAAAACAGGACCTTCAAAGCCTCAGGCTATGGCAGACCTGTCTTCTCAGTCCAGCACTACAACTTCTCCCTTCAAAATCCAAAGAGTACGAACATCAGAACTCAAGTCCTTCTCCAGTATGTTGAGTGGGGATCCAGGAGCTTCTTTGTGTTCAGAGGAAGAAAAGAGCCGACAGAATTCAGAAGATTCAGACCAGAACAATAGCATAGATGCTGGTTCTGAAGGGAAATTGGACGCAGCAGCATCTGATTCAGAGGAAACCAACGAAATCCCAGATTGGCTGAAAGAAGGCGAATATGTAACTGTTGGCACGAATAAAATGGGCACCGTGAGATACGTTGGTCCAACAGACTTCCAGGAGGGAACCTGGGTTGGAGTCGAGTTGGATTTGCCATCAGGTAAGTGTTGAGAAATGTTGTTGGGGTGCAGTAAGGTGTACAGCACGGGTGTCAAACTCACATCATGTGACGTATCGCGATGTTTTTCTCCTTCATGGAGCTGGGGTGGGCGTGACCTGCGCATGATGCATGTGGCCTGTGGACCGCCAGTTTGACACCCCTGGTGTACAGGAAATGGTTGTGGCTGGCTTTGGTAGTTGTTTTTCTTTCCCTCAATCCATGGGCAATTCCCTCAGACTTTTATCTCTTATTAAAGGTCTGTCTAGTTTCTTTCACTGTTCCCCAGTGTAAGTCAGCCGCACATACAGATTTTTCTTAAGACATGTAGTGCAGTGCAGGTGGAAAAAGTCACCAGCATGATGAGCCTTTCTTCTTAATGTCCAGTATTGTTTGAAATTCTGCCACCTTCTACTTGGATTTATCTCTAGTGAAAAGAGGAACCGGCCTTCATTCAGATACAGTTCCTTCAACAAGAGTGATTGGAAATATGGTGGCCCATCCAGAGCACAGATAGAAATCTGGCTAATTGCAAAGGGTTTCTTTCCTGAGTGGCAGAAGCCACATTTTGCATCCGCAAGATTTATGGATGGGTTCACTTTGCCTGATTCAGTTTACAACATCTTCCATTTAAAAGATTTCGGTTGTGAAAAGTGCCTGGTGAATTAGTGATAGTAGCCAGAAATGGCCAATAGTGAGCAGCTTCATATGACCAGAAGTTCTGATTGTGAAAGTACAATTCCATCAGGCTTAACTTTGTATTTTGAATAGGCAAAGAAAGCTTGAAAACATATGATAATATATTTGAATTTATTTATTTATCTATCGGATTTTAGGTAAATAAAATAATTCTAGATGGTGTACAATTAAAAACAGAAAAGTCATATAAAATATATCAATAAAAGGAAGCAGTCAAGGATAGAATAATTAAAGTTAAAAGAGTGAGGGGGTGAGGGACTTCGAGGCACTAACTAAATCCAAGGTTTCTTGGTTCTCTGCCAGCCCCATATGAGTCTTCAGACTCCCGCCCAAAGACCAGGAGAGTGGGGGTCTGCCTCCACACTTGGGGGAGGATATTCCAAAGGACAGGGACATCTGCCTCTATTTCTGAGCTTCCATATAATGATGAAAGTCTTGATAATATATGCTGAAAATATGCCATAGAAAGTAAAATGTTTATTATAAGACTGTATCATTACTCTGAATTAATTTGTGCAACTACCACCTCAGTTAGCAGGAAGGAGAGACTTACTTTCCTATGTAATTTTTATGGAACCCAGGCAATGTTATTGGCGGTAGAGGAAATAACACACAGATCCACTAGGAAAGTCTCCTGTGTGCTGATGTGTAGCCAAATGATACCATGGGGTGCTATGTCATTGGGCAACATGTAGTATCCTTAGCCAGATGCATTTATTTCACAATTTAATGAAACAACCCTTTTCAAAGAAAATCTCTTTATCTCAAAGGGAAGAACGACGGCTCAATTGGAGGCCGGCAGTACTTCAAATGCAATCCAGGCTATGGGCTCCTGGTGAAGCCAAGTCGAGTCAAAAGAGCTACAGGCTCTGCAAGGCGCCGGAGTGCTGGAATGAAACTACAGGCCACAACTGGGACCGCAACTGAGCACCGGCGGAGTGGCACGTTCTCAGGCTCAGCCTCCAATTTGGCTTCTTTGACTGCTTTAGCCAAGACAGAAGGAGGATCAGTTCCACAGACCGAGAAAAGTAAAAAGAACACAGAAAACAGGAAATCATGGGCTACTTGAGAGCGTTTCCCAATGGGCATGTCTACCTGGCTCGCAACACTACTGTGTGAAGCTGACCCTTCCTTTCTTCCTTCTTTCCTTCCTTCCTTCCTTCCTTCCTTCCTTCCTTCCTTCCTTCCTTCCTTCCTTCCTGAATGGCCTTTCTTTGCACTACTAAGCCAGTTGGAGGAGATGGTTGATTTGTGTCAGAGTATATGCATACTCTCAATTTCTCTTACTGAAATTTGTTGACCTTTGTCATGATGGAGTAACAATGAGACTCTTGATGCAAATGGTGACCTTTCCCAGTGTGTTCTTCCAAATCTCTCCTTTCATTCCCCGGCCGTTCAAAGGAAGTCTTCTATAAGAGATGTTGGCAGGGCTTATTTTCTAGAAAGACTGCCAAATGCTGCTTACTATCAAAACATTGTCCTTCCAAGGCTCATCATTAAACCACAGTAAACCATTGAGAATCATAGAATTTGGCAGATCACAGCCTATTGGAAAAAGTGCCTGTCTTCTTATGATCTTTAAACTGTTCTTGTTGATATCAGTGGAAAATATTGTCTCTCATTCTACTCGAATGGCGATTGGAGATTAGCCTACATGCATGTTGCTTTTCTTTTCTTTTTTTTAATTCCCAATTTTTAATTCTCAATGTGTTAGATTACAGTCTAACACAGGGGTCTCCAACCTTGGCAACTTTAAGACCCAGTCTTAGGGTCTTAAAGTTGCCAAGGATGGAGACCCCTGGTCTAACATATCTGACCTTTTCCATAAGGCTTTGCTTTTTTCCCCTCTTCTAGTGATTTATTATTATGGTTGACTGCAGAGTCAGCCAGATGTTTTGATTGGATTTGGCTTTTTTTTTAATCAACCAATCATGTCCTTCCCAAGGACCTTGGGTAGGGAGATGTTGTTGTTTCATGTTGTTAAAGGTATTATTAGTATTATTATTTTCAGCAATCCCTTCAGTGCTGTTGTATTTATAAAGTAAACCTCGGCATTGGGCATTCTTCGCCTTTGTTTTAAGTAACATAATGCAAAGAGGGAATTCAAAGCCCTAGAGGTAGGGTGGGCCTTCCTTATGATCTGGATTTTCACCAGTGATAACCCTGACTAAACTATGCTTGTCCATGTTGCTAGAGCTATATTATTTATTTGTTATTTATTGTTTTCTTTTTAAAGAGAAGCGTAGGGAATCCCTTGCGACTTACAATCAACCCACTGCCTACTATTGCACAGAAACACACACGGTTCACGGTAATCTGCTTCTTTCCATATACTCACGCTGTCTTCCTCCTATGGAAGAAGAGGGGGTGAATTCAAAATGAATATACGTTATATATGCCTGCAGGATTTTGAGGTCACAACTTGAATGCTGCGCGTCATTTCCATGGGTGCAATTGGATCTTATCTGCAGAACTTTCAGCCAGCAATGGCTTCTCCATGGCTTGAAAATCTCTTTTGGAAAAGTCCCAAACAGGGAGATGAAATTAGCTTTGTTGCCCAGATAGAATGAGGTTTAGCTATTTTAAAATGAGGGCAAATAGCTCAGGGGTGAATCAGATGCTTTGCCTGCAGCAGGTTCCAGATTGAACCCAGCTACAGAGAGTGTTGAGAAAGGTTCTTGCTCAACAAACACTAAGGAGAACAATTGCCAGGAAGCTGTGTTACATGGGCCAGGGGTTTGGCCTCGGATAATCTGGCTTCCGATGCTCCTGTGAAAGACTGCAGGAATGTCCAAAGTAAAATGGTTGGAAATTGAGCAGAGGGATTTTATGGAGAACATTAGGCAATGGCAGACACACCTAAATGATGCCAATGAGAGAAAAATCTTTCGGTTCCTCGGATGTAGCTAGCCACCAAAAGATATCGGAGACTGAGAAGGAGAACTGCTGGAATGTCTAAGGCAGGGGTGTCAAACTCAAGGCCCGGGGACTGGATCTGGCTCACGAGGTGCTTAGATATGGCCTGCAGGGTTGCCCTAGAAACAGTGAAGGACTGGCCTGAGCTCCATTTTTGCTGACAGAGGGTTGCAGGAGGCCATCCCAGCTGGAAACAGAGCTCGGGAGCCCGTTTTTGCTGGCAGAGCACTTAGGCCAGCACAGCCCCCCACCCCGACACAAGTGATGTCAAGTTAGTCACACCCACCCTGGCCACACCCACTCTGCCCCCCTCTCCCGCCAAGTTAAAAAACAACCCTAATGTGGCTCTCAATTAAATCAAGTTTGACACCCCTGGTCTAAGGGTTTGCTTAGCAGCCTATAAATTCTCATGACCTATATTTTTATATCCTCCTTCCATATGCTGCTAATAGACTCTCTTTGTACTGGTGAGCTTAAGGAAATTGATCTAACTATTACATCTTAAATGACTTCCTTCTGTACTAATTTGATTTTCTAACTGAAGAAAACTGTTATACAATTAAAGCTGCAGCTAAGGAGAATGAGGAAACTGGCAGCAGCGCTTCGCAGTTTCCAGAGAGCCTTCATTTTCTTGCTTGCTTTGTGTATATGGAATTGGAATATTTTATGCGTGTAGAACATTTACATGATTTCAAGAGGTCTTTCTTTCCAACAAAACAAAAATCATTTTTTTTTTAAAAAAAATCTTCCTGCCAATCCAGGCAGGATGAAATTATATTGAAGCCTTGTTAAAATCAATGCACTAATAATATTCTTAGATTTCTGCCCTCCTTCAAGATAGTTTTATTAGGTGGGTGACAAACACTAGAAAAATGGTCCACCACTGTCCTGCTTACAACTACAACTTGGACGACTACTTTCTGTTTAGTTACCTACTATTGAATTTTAATTTTTTAAATAATTTATTTTATTAGAAGTTTTACAAAGGACATAAAAATTAACATCAACTAATAAAAATAAAAAGCAGAAAAGGTAGACAAGAAAAAGAAAGAAAAAAGATAAAAATGCAGAAAGAAAGAAGAAAAAGATGATTTTTTTTTTTTGATGTGCAGGCCTTTTCTAAGTTTTTTACATGCACTTTATCCTAAAGCAGGGCTGTCAAACTCCTGTCCCGTAGGCCAGATGTGACACGTGCTGGCCACACCCACACCCAGTTTAGTGAAGGGGGAAAATGTCCCAATATGTCATGTGATGCTGCCTTGACAATGTGAGTTTGACACCTAAAGGAAAACAGAGCTAGCCTCACAAGAAATGCTGACAGGCTGTGGACAATTTAGAGTTTCTTTAGGGCTGTGATTTTCAAATGTTTTGAGTGCACATTACAGATGATCTTGGTTTTTTTAAAAAATTAAAAATCCCAGGATCCTTATCAAGAGAGCATTCCAGTGATAGAAAACTGGCTGCATGTGAGTGAACCTTTTTATTTTTGCCCTTAGACTCTCACATAAACCTATCAAGTTTTCACAAAACTCTAGCCTTCCATGGGATGCAGTTTTAGAAACCCTGATTTAGATACTTGTAAATTTGGGTTCATTATAATCTCTCTACCTCCTCTCTCTCTCTCTCTCTCTCTCCATCTCTAGTGCTGAGTCTACTTCTTCTCCCAACAATGTAATCTGTATTTTATTCAGCAACCAAGGTACACTATCTACAATGCAGAATAGCTTTCAAGGATTATTTGAAAAAATAGTGAAGGAAGAAGAAATAAGAAAGTGTTGATTTAAAAGCATACTGAGGGGGTAAAGAGATTCCCACTGGTTTTCTGGACTGGAAAAGTGAACTTTACAGGACAGAGCCTTTTCCAATAGTAAAATTCTTCTCTCTCCCTCCCCCTTCCCCAATTAAGCTCTATTTCTGTTCTTAAAGCAAATAGAGCAGGGATGGCTCTGGTGGAATAAGCTGAAGAGGTTTCCCCAGCTTGAGTAATCAGGAAGCTGTGTTAACAAAGGCAATTGCCTTGTTCAAATGGGTTTTGAAATATTGTTGAGGTTCTGCTTAGAAAAGAATATTCCTTTTGTTTCCGTCCATTAACTTCTAAAGCAAAAGCTTTCTGAAGTGCTCTACTCAAACCACCAGTCTTCTCTGCAACTAAGAAGTCTGTCTTAAACATTAAAATATTTCTAAAATGTTATCTAATTGATTTACTGCTGCATTCCTTTTGCACATGATTTGCATCCAACAATTTTAAGCAAAACAATGTTGTGATGGTTGTGATAGGCATCTGTAAGACTGCCTTGCAAGAAATGACATGTAATTCCAATAGCTACAGCTGTTTCATTTTAGCCAGGCCACACCATGGTGCCTTAGTTCAAAAGCTGGTTGACCATTACCCCTCCCACATATCTCACTGGCAATTGATTTATACTGCAAGCTTGGTTTTTTTCAGTGTGTATGGTTCAGTATCCCATTCTGAATGTTTTGGTTGCCATCATCTTCCTTTGTCAAAGTTCATACCTTTGTGGAAGAGATTTGAAGATTAGAAAGTGGTGAAAAATGTGCATGATGAGCATGTGCACCATGCAGCCTTCATAGAGAGGCTGTGTTATTTCAGTCTTGTCTGTAATATGTCAGAATTGGAAATTGACCATATCATGTGATGAGCAACATTAGTAGATCAGCCATGTAGTTGGAGCAGTTCCTTATAGTGAAACTAGGATAATGAATGGCTCTGTTTGTAAATTGCCCTGACAATGTACAAAACTCTTACGTTGAGATAGTATGGCATTGTCACTTAAAAGTTCTTAGGATCTAGGTTCAAACTCCCATTTATCCCCAAAGTTCACTTGGTGCCAATGGAAACTTCTACCAGATCTTTATCTAACAGGCTGCTTGTTACTTACTTCAAGTAATTGAAGTAATTTAAATGGAATTTAAATTAATCAATGCAAAAATTATATAATTCTCTTCTACATAAGTCTTCCTTTTATATCACTCTTCATAATCTTGATTGGTGCTGACTTATATGTTGCACCCATTGCAACATGCTAGGCAATGTTTAATAATGACAATTGGCACTCCATGGAATATAGGAGCCTGCATGATTCAAAGGCATCATCCTGTCTGTAGATTCTGCTTGAAAATTGAGACTCTTCATGGCAGATGCAACATCTCTTTACAGTTCTTACACCTTTTCAGTGTCACAATGCCTTTCTTTTGGGCAGAAAAGTGGGATAAACTAATATTATTTTGTATCAGAATTTTAAAGTCATTTTTACAGAGATGAGGCCAAAAGCCACATGGAAAGCTATTCGGCATGACAGTATTCGCAGGGCCTCTCATGACTCTCATCACTGTCCATCTAACATAACTTAATGTTCACAGTTAAGGTATCCTGAAAGACCTACTGTACGAATAGAAGATGAGCTTGTATTTGGAGAACAAGATCACCTTCCAAGCAACTCTACCCACTAGGCTATTCAAAGCATTTCATTGCCTGGACACTAACTTCCTGTTTTTGAGAAGCTTGTTTCTTGTCTGTTGATTTGTCATTTTGTAAATGTTGGGAACCTGTATATAAAGAACAAATGTTGAGACTGGTTTTCCAGAAGTATTGTTGGTTGTACCTTTTTAAAAGATGCTAAAATCCAAAGATTCTTGTAATGAAGTGTAAAGTTTGTAATGCTCTCTCTTGTATTATATACTAAACTTGTAATATTGTACCATATCTGTGACAAATGTTCCCTAAATAAAATACTTTCCTTCTGTCAAGCCTCGTTCCTCTTTTTCACCCTTCTTTTCTTAGTCGACTAATGCAGAATTGTTGGTTTAACTAGATTGGAATGAAAGATTCATACAATACACATAGTCCAGGTCTCTGTTTGCTTAAAAGAGAAATGCAATTATATTGTCCAGCACGTGTTCTACAAAGTGAACAGATTTTGCACTATTTTTCTTTCTTTGCAAAGTTTACCTTAAGGTCCTTTGTGTGTGTGTACACAAAAAAAACCCCTGCTTACTTTTTTCTTTCCTACTGAGAGATTAAAAATGTACCCTATAGCACAAGGTAGATATAATTATATTGTTTGTTATCGGTTGGACACGACTTTGCAACTAACAATAATTATTATATTTTTCAAGATAGATGAAACTATATTCCCTCATCATGCCAGATTGAGCTGTGGTGCTCATTTTATCGTGCTGTGGAATGGTGGTTTTCGTATATTATTTTTCCTCAAATGAATTTATAGGTTTTACTGATTGGAGCCCCAGCCATTTTCTAATGATATACAAACTGCATAACTCGTTCTAAAAAGAATACACATTCTGCTGGACTGAACATAGCTTAGGTTAAATAACTTACAGCTATATATTTACATCTATACATATAAACATGTGCATCACACTACGAACTTTTGCCCCGTACAACTTCCTCTGCCATTTTTGTAAGCTAAATAACCCTCCATTCCTTGCAAATATGGTTTTCTTAATGAAGCTGCTCTAGTCACGGAGGGCATTGCCATTTGGTTTAGTGGCTAGAGTAGAGTAGAGTAGAGTAGAGTAGAGTAGAGTAGAGTAGAATAGGAGTATTAAGTATATTTGCCACCTTATAAAAATAATAAAGATGGGATACATACAACAAATAATGTAAGCCTGGTATTAGCAGTTTAAAGTCAACGTAGGGGTTTTTTTGCCTGATAATTGCCACACAAATATCAAAATTTAGGGAAGTGACCACCAGAAATCCTAATGGTGTCCTGATAAATCGCTGATTGTGTGTTCATGCCGTGTTGCGCATTCTGTCTGTTAGGACTTCTTTCCAACTTTCAGTACGTAATACATTTCTTTAAAGCTCATGTGTTATGCCATTAATCTGACAAGAAAACGTTTAACCCCTTCACTAACTTCTATACTAAAAATATGTGTAATGTGTATTGTACTTGCACAAAAAAAAAGTCACCATGCTATTCACCCTTCATATGTTTTGTTCTTGTTTTAATGAAATGTCAGTTTGCTTTGCTTAGTTTTGAGAGCTATGTCCGGTAAGCTAGAAGGAGTAAACAGGTGCTGAATGTTTAGAGCAGAGGTCTCCAACCTTGGCAACTTTAAGACTTGTGAACTTCAACTCCCAGAATTCCTCAGCCAACTTTGCTGGGAGTTGAAGCCCACAAGTCTTAAAGTTGCCAAGGTTGGAGACTCCAGGTTTAGAGGGTCTCCTCTCTTATCCAATCTCTCCTAAATTAGTTTAATTAATAACCTGACCATTGTCAAAAATCTAGGAAGTTTATATCTCCATTTCTAAGCTAGTTAATATTGAAATAATTTGCAAGACCTTGTCTCTGCAGGACTCAAACTAATTCTTTAGTGAGTTGTTTCATTATGCCGAATTGTTAATTCAAGCATGATTTTCAATATGTATGTATGTCAGTAGTGGGTTTCAAATACTGGCGCTACCAGTTTGCTATTGGTTCTGCGCATGCGCAGAGTGTTTTTGATGAAGTCTGGGCAGGTGGGCGGAGCCTCCTGCCGCCGCTACTGGTTCGCCCGAACCGGGGCAAACCAGTAGCAACCCACCACTGATGTATGTATGTATGTATGTATGTACGTATGCTATGTATGTATGTAAAAATAGCCTGAACATTTCCAGGATTTCTACCCTACATCTCTTCTCTACATCCAACTTCTTTACATAAAAAATAGTATTGAAATTATTATTTCCCAGTCCTAGCTACAAAGGCAAGTCTGAAGGACCAATTCCATCTTCATGTTAAAAAAGCATCAATTCCATATTGATTATTATTTTTAAAAAATCCCTTTCAGGGGGGTAATATCTGGAGTTTTCCCCTCTACTTGGTCCTACATTTTGTCAAACTACTGAACATATCTCCTTAAAAGTTTATAAACCAGTTGCATTTGCTAAGAGTAACAGTATAATACATGTCATCATAATCTCTCACAACACAGGGAATCTAAGGCTCAATTCTGCAGTTCTCCATAAATACTTTGATGCTGACAAGATGGAGCAACTGTCTCATACAATATAAAGTAGCTTTCCTACATGTTTGCACCATACTTCTTTTTGTATGGTGAATCTAGGGCAGCTTCTAACAACCTGCAAGCGGGACTAGCCACGACTTCTGGCTATGGGACTAGAATAGAGAAGGTTGACTATAAACGTTCTTAAAGCAACTAAAGCTTACAGCTACCTCTTCACCTTCTGCAAATTGCCGAAATCCTGTCTATCCCATGTTTGGGCTCCCCATCATATAGCAATCTTTATCTTTTTTGATCTGGTTTCCCATAGAAATGATTGATATCTAAAACTTTATAATAAACAAACAACTAACTGAATACTGTAGACCCATGTATTCTGCCAAAGAGGTGGCCAACCAGGCTCTAGCTAGAAGAAAATCTTCTTCGTGTGACTTTGTGTTTTACCATGTATAAAAGCAGAGCATTTTGGGGAAAAAATGACATCAAAGCAGTTGTTTTTTTTCAGTTATACATTTTAATTTTCTAGTAGGTACAATACTAAAATAAACACAAATTAAAAAAAGTTTATTAAAACAAAACTGTACAAAAAAGCAGTTATACTACAATTTAATTACAGAACAGTCTACTGTCCAAAAAGGCACTAATAATCCAGAATAGGAGATACAATGATACAGGACTCATTTGTTTTTTAAGCTAGTTTTTAATCAATACAATAGAGCACTTGTTTCTTTCCCCATTCACATACAGAAACAAGGACTTCTTCCACAGTCAGTACACACTGGTATAAATATGAGCCCTACTTAGAAAGATGTAGTGTCTCTCTCACCCCTGGAAGAAATGGTAAGGGTCAACAGTATGAGGCATGTAGCTTTAAAAGGAGAGAAAAGGTTTCCACCTGCAAAGGAAGAACCCTGGGAAACTAAATGGGAAATCAGTCAAGGACATTTCAATGTACAAAAGGCTCTCATAGCGTTAAATAAGAGCTTATACATAACTTTTTTTAAGTTGAGGGAAAAAAATTCTCAACGAAAGTTACACTGGAAAAATGTTTTGGAATTTAACATCCTGCATGTTCTCATACAACGAGGTAAGAACAGGATAGTTGTCAATGCTCCCACGGTTTTTCTAAAGAGTAGTAAGCCTCTTGCATTTTCTATTTTGTATTTCATCGTAGCCCGTTTTGGAGATTTCAGTGGAACACCAGCCTGGGTCTCTAGCCTGACCAAGTTGTATTTATATCAACCAAGACTGTGAGGTTAATAACCATTCTGAAAGTCAAATATACTTTAGAGGCAAAGAGGACAGATGCAGGTTTGTGGGAACTTGGCTTGCACTTTTCAAAGAAGAAATAAATCCCTTGACAGATTAAATTAACTGATAAAGTTAAGTGGCAGTTCCACTAATATCCTTCCAAAGAGGGAAGAAATATGAAAACTGAGAAATATTAATCAGATATGAGATAATCCTAATTTTTTTCTCTCATCACTCTACAATTTTTTTTAATCTTCCTATTTAGATTATTTGCTCTTTTATTTTTTTAATAGAATGGTTATAGGATTGGAATAAAAATATGCACAAGATACTTTGGGCATTTAAGACCATCCTACTTTTGTTCAAATCATGGCTACACTAGTCTGGCCTTTCAGTTTTCAATTGAGTAATAATTTCAACGTGACTAAATGCCTTTGCCCTCAATTCCTGGGCTCGTGCTTAGGAATCTAAAGCCTGTCTGATTGACAATGATTTTTTTTCCTTGACGGAATGCCTTCACAAAGATATTTGGGATCTCAAACCAAAGACCGCCGAAAGCCTTGACCAACTTTAGCCAAGTGCCAAGTTGCTTCAGGGAAATAGAAATTCACTGACAAGATTCAACAACTTTGGAAGCAACTATGCCAAGTCCCAACAAAGCACATGTTGACATTGCTAAAAGCAGTGAGTTCTCAAACTTTTGAGAGTTTCTATATCTCTGCAAAACTAGTGGCAGCGTATACCCTGGCAATGGACCATTTTGGGGAGGAGGGGTTTAAGAGGAACAGGGGGAAGAAGAGAGAGACTGCAGCTTTTTCAAAAACTGTGTCATACATAGAGAAGACAGAGACAGAGAGATGAATGTTAAGAAAAATAAGTAGCAAAAGAAATTTGATTAAAAAAAATTCTCTCACATCCTATACTACATCCTCCTTCTGCTTAGCAGAAAATTGTACGTACACAAAAATACAAATACACAATTTTGTAGAACAGTCTGATTTTAATATATTTATATATATTTATATTTATATGAGTGGCAGGTTAATTTATTATATGGAGCTTTTTGCACTTTTGGCTCATATGCAACAAGGCTTATAAATTCAGCTTTAGCTTTTCATTCAGGTTTTTATTTTTATTTTTTTTTCTTCTTTATATAGCTTTTTAAAACAACTGTTTTATTCATTTTTTTTTTCACATTTAAAGCAGCATCCAATCTGCAATAAGAACTGGTGGCAACAGCAAGGGGGTTGGAGAGTAGGGCGATAGACAGTCCAGTGTGGTTTGTGTGTGTGTTATCTATGCATATGTCAAAAAGGACGCTGAAATAAAAGGGATTGTGGCTGCAAGACAGGGAGACACAGAATTACCTCTTGAGGTAGGCTGAACTCAGTTATGGCAGGCCAAAACAACACCAGGCAAAGTGTCGGAGTGCCACCACAGTAGTGGATCAGAGAGGAACACGAGGAGAAAAGAGACAGGCAGTCCTGGAATGGAAGTTAGAAAATGCACAAACTTGGCTTGCCCATAAGCTACAGCAACCTGCAATTGATTAAGCTGCGATGTATTTCAGCTCAGAATGGAAGGAGGAAATAAATCTGGTCCCTCCTTACCCTCTTACGTGAGGCATATTCACTTCCAATTCCCTAGTATAATGTTTTAATGCCTTCTCTCCCCATTATCTTAAAACAATGTTCTGGAATGAAAGATAACAGGTTTCTTCCTACACTGCTGGTTCCTTTCAATGCAGGAATCCAGCCAATGTAGAAATGAAATGTACTAATTGGGGGGTGGGGGGGGGGAAAGGGAGGGAGGAGTCGCTCAGACCTTTTTCACATTCATAAAAGATTGCTGGGAAGAATAGTTCATAACTTCTCTTCTGCACGTAGCAGGAAATGCAGATGAGGAGTTCAAAATGCAACCTTCCAACAAGGCGGCACTTTTTATGCAGAGGAAAATAAGAAGAGGAAGGAGGTGGACATGGACTCGCTTGCTACAGCACTTTTCTACAGCAATTCTTTTGTTAGGCTCTCTCATCATGGCCGTTTCCAAGATTATAAAACAATCAGGCAAGTGGTCAACAGTTGCGTTGGATTGCAATTCCAATGATTCCCAGCCCACAAGGGCAGAGTCAAATGGAGGGTGGGGGTGGGGAGAGAGAGAGAGAGAGAAAGAAAAGCAACTATGGTTGCTGTCCAGTTTATTCCGGAAGCTAATTCACATTCTAGGCTGCCACGTCCTCCCATATCAGAAGGACAAAGACCGGCAAGGCCAGTGTCTCCTACATAAAACCAGGTTCAGTTATCACATTAGGCACTTTTAGAATTGGATACTAAACATGGGAAACAGATTCTGAGCATCCTGAAAAACCAGGGAAACTGCTCAGTGCCATCTGCTATGGAAGTTAGCTCTTTCATTCACAGCAAATGGACCACAGAACTCACTGCTGAAAGTCGGTTTCCAAAGCTAGTCTTGTCTTGAACATGGGAGGGTGGTAAATGGTCTTGCCCATTTAGACATGAACTTCTAGGGGATAAAGCTATTGCTCCCCTTCCACAACATCACAAAGCAAGGCAGACTTCCTCAGCTTGATGCCTCTAGATAAAACTGCATTTCAACTCTTATGTGGCTCTGTTGTGCTAGCTGGAAATTTTAGAAATTGACATCCAACACAACTGGAATTATGATAAAGGAATTTGCTTAAATACCCTCTTGAGATCCACATAGAACATCAGAGTTCTTCTCAGAATTATCTCAATCACAGAACACATTGATTTTAGGAAGACAATTGGGTATGATTATCCACAACAAAAGTTGCAAGGAGTTATGGAATTGACAACCAACAAAAGAACTGGGCTTCCCTATATTAGAACGCTATCATACCAAAAAGTTAGCGTTTCCTATCAAAAAATCAACTTATCAACTAAATCACATTTTGATCACAAGATTCCTATGTATCTAGAAAAATGGCTATTGTAAGTCTCACACAGAGCAAGTAACAAATCACTAGAAGAAGTATTTTTCCTGGACAATAGATGCTACCAGCATTTTGCACTATGTTTTCTCTAGCTGGCTGAGTGGCTTAAATTGCTTGCACGGTTCAATATATTTTGCTCAGTGATCAAAGGCTGAAACTCATAATCGTTATGAATACGCCACGTTCGGAGGCAATATATTACTGAATGCCCGTTGCTAAGGGACTCACAACATAGTAGGAACAGAAAAATTAGTTTGTTTGCAATTTCAGTTAATACAAGCGTGGGAGGAAACTGTTCCACTGGAAGAAAGCTGATGTTACTCATAGAAGCTGCAACTAACATTTTATCAAGGGAGTCTTTTCAGGAAGGATGATGTCAACTACAAGCACAAGGAAATCCACTTATTGCCTTAAAAGTCTTTCCAGTCCAGGACACTGAAAAGAAGAGTAAATAGTATAGAGTGTTAAAAACCAGCGACACTATTTTATTAGGAAGCCCTTTTTAAAAACATTTGCTTCTAGTAAGAAATCTCTCATGTACTTGTACTAATAGTTTTCCAACAAGTTTCGATGTCTCCAATACCATGTCTATGACTAAGAAGAATGAATGAATGGAAAGCAAAGCAACATTTATAATATAAACAGATGCAGGATGCACAATATGAAATGAGGAGGGGGGCCAGTTGATGTAGAATGTTGTTGCTCAATTAGAGTTCTCTTCATGTGTCTTGACTCACAAATTCCAAAGTTCACAGTTAGGATTCTGACTGGAAATCATGGGATTGTAGTCCTCATATTTGGGGGCAGCATCGTATTGTAGACGGCTAGTCTATCAGAATCATATCTCAAACATTACATCAATCGAGTCTGAAGCCAATCTCAAAGCACTGCCTCTAAATCTAAGACTACAGAAGGTAGAACTGGGTATCGTGGACGCTCAAGAATTGAGAACTCATCCTCCAGTAGCAGCAATATTACAGTGATTTCAGAGAACCAGGCAATTCTGTAGTATTGAAAATATCCCAAGGCGACACCCTTCATCAGTTATTGAGAAAATATAATTTAGATTGTAGGTGGGCAAGAAGCTGAGAATTCAGACACAATTAAGCGATGCTTCTAGATCAAACTGCTTAAGATGATTCACAAACCATACTTGCTCATGGAGCAAGTAAAATATTCTATTCTATTATTCTATTCTATTATTAGTAACCCCAATTCCTCAACTATTCATAACGTAGGTGAGACACCTAATGAAAGATCAGAATGCTATATACAAAGCACAGATAAAAGCTCATCTTGGAAAGGCATTTTGGAAAGGCAAGACAAAAAATCAGTTTTGGGGTGCTGAACCCCAAAGCAACAGAGGATCCCAACAGAGGAGAAGAAAAGCCAATCACAATTTAATTGTTAGTAACAAGAAACTTAGCGCCTGAATTCAGTTAAAATGAAGAGCATTCAAATGCGGTAAGAACTTGTAACTTGACAAAGTTGGATCCAAATGTTTTTTGTCCTTTGAACAAAGCTTATCTTAGCAAAATGGGTCTTCTAGTTTACTTGCATTCACTCAACATTTCTTGCCGAGATCCTCTTTTTAAAGATTCAAGATCTCTTAACATGTCCACAATTCTTCTTGAATTAAGATAATTGTAGGCTACCTATTGTCCTAATGTTTTAACAAGTTCAGCCACTATACTGAAAGCTTGTTCATTGCTTCCTGTTACTTATTTGTATGTGCAATATATAAAAGGGGCTGAATCCAATAACTGTTTACCATAATTGAAAAGTGCTTCAGGCCAAGCCATGAAGACTTATGGCCCTTTCAGGAGACTGCACTACTAGATAAGCAGGGAAAGACTACAAGTTAATAGGAGAGACTGACTAAAAATGAATGACAAAATTTGCAATGGATAGCTTATTCAAGAATCCTGCTATTTCTGTTCATACCGGAACTAGCTGGTAGTGTCCTGCTAAAACTACATGCAAAGAAAGAATAAAACCTCAGTGAATAGCAGTGCCAAAACGGTCATGGGAAGCTCAGTGGCAAAAACCATGATGGCTTCATTTCATCAATGCTTCTCAGTTTAGGATATTACCATTATAGCAATGAGAATATAAAATTCTGTTGCAGTAGCTATATTTTACCAGGTCATTTAGCCCACAAAACAAAGTTGCTTCACTTCTTTGTTACCTGTCACGGAGAGACACATTTGCTTGTAAATGTCACAAGAAGAAATTCTCTCTGCAGCTACCAAACAACTCTTACATTTTTCCCTGAGTCTAAGGTCAAAACTCCTCATGGAGTTTACCTGCTCTTAATCGACAAACAAGACAGACGACAACAATTTGCTTCTGCTTTAGTGATCAACAGTTGATTTTTTAAAAAAATTACATATAATATAGCCAATGAAATATGCAAGCTGGAACAGCAAAATACTAGCAAAGCTCCAACATTTTAATTGGAATTGAATGGGTGTGATGAGAAGCCATCATCAAGGATCCTGATGGAGAAAGTGTGTGATGGAGATACCGTGTTTCCCCGAAAAGAAGACCCAACCAGAAAATAAGCCCTAGCATGATTTTTAAGGATGCTTATAATATAAGCCCTACCCCAAAAATAAGCCCGAGTTAAGACGGATGTATTTAGTACCGTATTTCCCCTGAAAATAAGACAATTAGAAAATAAGCCCTAATGCTTCTTTTGGAGCAAAAATTAATGTAAGACCTGGTCTTATTTTCAGGGAAACACAGTAGTAACTAGTCCCTGTCCTAGATCCATTGAGGGAAATAGAGGACTTATGTAGAAGGATTCCAGCTCAGTAATTATGCTCAGAAAGATCAGTTGATGGGAAAGATTTTTCTTTACTTCAGAGATGATGAGTAAGTCACACTAAGCTTACCGAGGTAGCCTGGCCAGCATAAGGAATCGTCCACTATTCTTAAGCAGAGGTCAAAGAGTAAAGAGCTGCTCCAGCCCCTTGAAAAGATGGCATTTTATTTTTCCTTATGGCCAATCACTTTTTCAAAATGTATTCATATCAATCTATTTTCAAAAATTCTGCCTAGTAATTATATAGCTAAGTACTATCTATGCAGTTAGAGCTAGTAGGTACCATACTACATGAAGCAACAGCATCTTGGCAGATATTCCCTCTTTATGATTTCTTTAATGACTTCTGAGAGCATTCAAGATATACGCAAAGAAAAAGAGAAACCATGACTACAAATAAAGTATTAGACTAGAGAATGGCCGAATTGCCCACCCAACTGCCCATACCAAAATGAGCAAATGGCCTGTCAATTTCAGGAACAGCATGACTTATTCCAACATTCTGAAGATTTTAAGCCTTTGGCCATTCCTCTACAAATTTCTATCATCTGCCTTGGCAAAGCACAAATGGGAACAAGGCCACAGACAAAGCACATTTCCAAATGTTGGGAACTGTGGCTCCAGCAGGGATTATATCATGGGAATGTCAGCATGTCAGTTTCATTCTGAAGTATACTAGTTGTTCATCAATGCACAGGCAGCTCAAAGGGCACAATGAATGGAGAAGAATTTCTGTGAACATTGAAGTAAGGTGAAAGTGAAAAGAGCACAAGAAAGAGGAAAAACACATGCTATGATCAAGTTGGTAAAGATACGTCTTGGGTTACAGGAATGCTTTTCAATTACCTCCCACTTCCTTCATTTCAAAACATCTTGCTCAGGAGAAACACCTGATGCTATTCGACCAGGTCCATTTCATCAGAGATGTTCCTCATGGACTATGTTCAAGGTTTATTATTGGATGACTGTAACATGAGCTTATAGCATGATATGGTTGATTTATCCAATGATATTTATTTTTTTAAAAATGCTCAAAATACAAATATATATATATATATTTTGTTAAGGAAAAAAAATACCAAAGTGCTACATATGATCAAGATAAAAGAACCAAAAAACCCCCCTCAAATTTGATTATTATTATTATTATTATTTTTGCTATATAGAAGTAGATTCATCTCACATTCCATCAGTATTTAATCACTAATTCTAATTTCCTAGATAGCCAATATCTGAATCCAATCTCAGATTGCCCTAACAATAGGAAAGTAAAAAAATAATCCTGTTTCCCAGGAGCACAAGAGCCACTAAATCCTTGGCTTGTGGCAACATCTAGTTCCTGCTGAAATATGGCTTCCAAGAATGAGTTAACCTGCTCAGACAGGTACAGCTTTCCAGCTGCTGAAGAAGAATAGAACAAAGAGAGACAAAGAATGTGTGGCTAGTTTAGAGAAGTAAAAAACATCAGGATGTGATACCTTGGAGAGCCAACACCACAAACAATAGATAGGGATCACTGCACGCTCTACTATGCAAATAATGAAAATTTACATGTATGCATATTTTCTGTAACTACCCTGTTTCCCCCAAAATAAGACATCCCCTGATAATAAGCCTAATCGGGCTTTTGAGTGCATGGCAATAAGGCCAAGCGCTTATTTCAGGGTTCAAAAAAATATAAGACAGGGTCTTATTTTCGGGGAAACACGGTAGTGAGGAGGGATATTAGGAGTTACTTCTTAATCCTTCCCTAGAGTGCACCATACTTTGGAGACAGGCTGTGGCAAGGAAGTAAGTGATTACCAACTTTTCAACCCAAGTTAATCTGCAACCTGATTACAGGCTGAACTGGAGAGCTATTTCTCATGTTTCATCACAGAATATGTGTGTGTAAAAATAAGTTATTCACTTCCATCAATGCTCATCCTATATTTGTATATAAATCATGTCTTTTCCAAGAGTAGGAATTCTTCATGAGGGTGTCTGAGAATATAATTGCATTATGTGGGTTTAGATGTTAATGAACTCGCCAGGGCTCATTTATGACTAACTGATAAAAGAATTGTGAATGATCCAATCACACCTACATCATTCCTTAGCCACCATCAGCCTTAGTGACCACTTATTGGAAGGAACACAGCCACAGTGGGTCTCATTCAGAGACACAGCCTCTTCTATAGATGGAAACTTTGGCCTAACTGGGGAAACCTAAGAATTGAGGGGGGAAATGCTTTGTTCCTCCCATAACACAACTTGCAAAGAAAACAGGAAGGTTATGTTGACCACGTCAGCAGCAAACATCAATCAAAACAAGCTGGTGGACTTTCCCTTTCTCCTTCCCAACCAGCCAGGACTTTTAGAAAACAGTACTAACCCTATGGAAAAGCAGTAAAGATTCTATTGCTGCACTGCCAAGGGAGGCCCAGTTTATTGGCACCTGGTAACAAGACGTTCACAACAGATCTGAGCTTCATCATAATCCCATTCCCTGTCCAAACTCTCAACCCATTTTCCTTCAAACCACTGAATCTCCATTGTCTCCTTTTGGTTTTGTAACAATAACAAGAGGAAATAAAAAAGTGTTAACACCAGGAAGTCTGAAGGATAATCCAAGTTTGTATGGTTGTTTTTCTACAGATTTAGCCTAAGGCTTGGAATCGAGGGCTGCCTACGACACCTGGAAGCACGTTCATGGAATGCTAAAGACAGAGCAGCAAAGGTTTTCATCTAGCTGAGGGGGGAGCACTGGGAGAGGGAGGTCAGTCGGCTTGGTTAATTATCTGACTGGGAGTTAATACTGAGAGTTTATACGCAGAGTCAGAGGGCACCATGCCATCTTCACAGGACAAGACCCTAAACGACGTACAAGAGACTGCAAAGTTATATTGTAAAGAAGGACACATATTAGGGACCAGGAAAAAGGCTGCTAAGGTGCTACGTCTAAAACTAAGTTACTTTCTCATCTGGGAGCCCTCCCCCTCCATCGCGTCATCAGTCATCATCCAGGGCCTCTGTTTTGATCTCGCTGGTTCCTTGCCGGGCCAACGCCAGAATGGTGTGATTTACCGCTGCCATCTCCACGGCTAGTGAGATAGGGTCTTGGTGGTCGCTATGGCTAGTGTTGTCATCCTACATGAGCGGAGAAGGAGAAAGGAATGAAGAGGGGGAGGGGGAGGAACAAGTCTCATTAGCATCTTCAACAATAATTTCATCCAGTTTTAAAATATGTCTTATAAACAGTCCAATGTTTTCATTCAATGGGCTGGAGAAACGAGGATAAAGGGATTTATTTTAAAAGAACGTATTACATGCTGAACAGGCATTGGCTGAAGGGAAAATGGGAAGGAGGAGAGAGGGTATTTGGAGAAAATCTCATACTGGACAGATGAAAATGAAAAAGGAAAGGCACCCAAGGCAGCTTCCAAGCCTCAAGTTATTATTATGAGGCATAAACCAACCTACTAACCACCTGGAGAAATTCTGCCCTTGTCCTATACCTGCAAACAGAAACCTAAACTTGAAAATGGGGCAATGATATGACAACTAAATTAACAATGCCGTTTCCACAATCTAAATAACAGGGATGGCCACCAATGCTAGCTGACCTTACAATAACAATTTTTGTTTGGGTGTCTGTTGAAGTTGAAAAGTGAAAGAAGAGTCAGGGAGTAGGTGAGATGATTTGAAGTGGGCGCCTGGAAACAGATTCTGCAAGAACTCCAAATCTGTATAAATGTAGAACCACAACCTTATTCCACCACTAACCTATTGTACCAAATAAAATGTAGAGATGCAACTCAGTTTTAGACAAATGTCTATTAGACAAGTGAATACGACTGTGTATTCATAGAAATTCACTGACTAGTGGGTTTTTTTTCAATTAGAGAAGACAGTGAGTTAGCAGCAGAAGTTATCTGTTTATGTCCCAAAGGTGTTTTTTCAAGAAGCAACGGGACTTTCTGGTTTTTCTTTGAAGACGTTTCGCTTCTCATCCAAGAAGCTTCTTCAGCTCTGACTGGATGGTGGGGAATGGAAGGATTTATATTCCTTGCAGACAGCTGTATAAATCCTTCCATTCCCCACCATCCAGTCAGAACTGAAGAAGCTTCTTGGGATGAGAAGCAAAATGTCTTCAAAGAGAAACCAGAAAGTCCAGTTGCCTCTTGAAAAAACACCTTTGGGACAACCATGACGTGGATGACTGAGAATCTCCATAGACATATCTATTTATGTGTTTGTATGAGAGAGAGAAAAAAAATGGGACGGGTGAAAGGATCTAAAAAACTTGTGTGTGTACCTTTGGCTGCTTCTATATCATTTTTATTACTTAACATTCCAAACACTTTCAATGGGTTTTATGAAGGTCCAGAAAACAACTTCCACTTGCAATCCCTTCTATTTCACCCCACTCCCCATTTCTCCTGCCCTTTGTTAAACCGCAACAAACATTACAAGAGAAAAGAAGAAGAACTAATTAGAATTATTTCTTTCTGAGAAGAATTTCTAGATATTCTTTTTAGTTTATAGTATTAGATATATTTATTGGTTGCTACCTAACTCTAGGATGCTACTCAACATAGGATATTTACAAATCAAAACAAAATAAAATTAAGAAGATACGAGAAATTATCTTTTATTGCTTCTCAAGAGGAAAACGGGAACAAGCTGTGTACCTTGTTATACCTGTATACCTTGGAGGCTATAGTGAATCCCTCTAAAAAATTTTTTACTGAAGAGTCAAATCCTAATTTTGTTACCAAGCATGGGCTCAAGTGATGACCTGTTTTGTAATACATAAGCCCAAGTAAAAAGAAAAAAGTAAAAAGAAGATACAAAAGTTATTTTCTTATAGATTTAAATAACTTCGTTTTCCAACCAGACACTATCCAAATATATTAGCTAGGAATGAATGCTGTAGACCAGGGGTGTCAAACTCATGTCATCACAGCAGCGTCATGTGACGTATTGGGACTTTCCCCCCCTTCATTAAACTGGGTGGGGGCGTGGCCAATATGTGACGCATAGGGCTGCCTTTGAAGACCATTTGGAAATTGTAACTGGTCCAGAATGTGGCAATGGACAGAGTTATGGTGTGCTGGTGGGTTAAATTGTGCCATAGGGCAGGCACCGCAACTGAAAAGGACAGACTTCTGGGTCTTATGAGACGAAAAGGTCTAGATTAGGCCTGTCAAACTGATGGCCCCGGGCCGGATATGGTCCATGCAGGCCCAGCTCCGCAAAGGCAAAAAACATCCCGATATGGCCCATGATGCGATCGGGTTTGATACCCCTGCTCTAGAAGGTCAAGAGGAAAAGCCACTATGAAGGAACAGTCAGATAACAGGGGCCTGAGTCTGGGTCATGAAAGCAATTTAAGAAAACATCTCAGGCAAGCCTGTAATGCACAGAGGTAAAGAAAGGGAGGGGGAAGCACATTCAGGCTTGCAAAATTCTGTTACAACATCTATTACAGTGAAAGAAGTATTGACCTACATGGCATTTGTTTCTTAGTCTATCTATATCTTATAACCTCATTGCACTCAACACTGTGTGTGCCTCTACATCCTGAACCAGTTCAAGCATCCAAATACTTTTCAAGGTCAGAGCACAATCTCATAGTCCAACCAGGAAGTGTCTATGGCATGAGTGATTATGAGCAGAATCTCCCAGGAATGGATGAGCCTGTCATAATTTTATTAAATTTAAGCTTTTTTATATTACCGTAGGCCTCGTCTAAATTAATGAAGGTATGTTTTCTTTCTCATATTTGTCCACTTCTCAATGACCAGTTGAGAACAAAAGAACAAACATTTGATCTGAAGCAAAAGCACTTTGCTTACCATCCCATCTCCTGCCTTTTCTATCAGACCTGTATGATATACCTTCCCATCTCTCTATAGTTGCTATATTTTTCTTCATACAGAAATAACTGCATTTTTCCACTTGCACTCATATCCAACAAATCACACTCAAATCACATCTGTCCAGCTACATGTTGAGTAACATCTGAACCCCCGTCATCCAATATGATAGTATATCAATATCAGCAATCCCTTTATCTGGTCTACCCATGTGGTTTCCTTGGTAAAATATAGAGGTTGCTTATCACTGTCTTTTCTCATGCAGTATGAAATTCCTCTATCATGGCTACCTGATCTAGGTGCCTGTTTGCTCTAGCTGGGCAGCTGAGATGATTTTCATACCATGGGTGACCTACTGGGAGTTTATACTCTTGGCATTCACTCCCATTTTATTTAATTGTATCCTGCCTCTATTATTTTTACAAATAACTCAAGGGGACGAAGCAGGGGTGGGTTCTAAATTTTTTTATTACCGGTTCTGTGGGCGTGGCTTATTTTGTGGGCGTAGTTTGATGGTCATGTGACAATTCTTTAGGATTTAGCAGAGGTATTGGTCTACCAGGCTTTTAACTGCTTGCAGAGCTGTACCGGTCTACCCATTTGTTCTTGGAGGCTCCGATCTACCCATTTGTTTTTCGAGCACACTGGTCTACCACCACACTGCCTTTTAACACTGATCAGCTGTAGGGTGGTCCTTTGAAGCCCCACAGCAAGAGTTTAAACAGTTTTTTTCCTTCTAGCCGATCAGCTGGGACTCGGGAGGCAGCGAATAGATTGGGGGCGGGGCCAAATAAAAGGTAAGAATAACGTGGGGGGAGCAGGAGGGCCCAGCTCCCGAACAAAGAGAACCGGTTCGGTGATGTCATATCGTCACCGTTACCGGCTCGGCCGAACTGGGCCAAACCGGGAGGAACCCACCACTGGGACGAATGTATCTAAAACTCTTTCCTCCTCCTATTTTCCCCACAACAACAACCCTGTGAGGTGGATTGGGCAGAGAGAGAATGACTGACCCAAAGTCACCCAGCTGGTTTTCATGGCTAAAGCAGGACTTGAACTCACAGTTTTTGGGTTTCTAGCCTGCTGCCTTAACCACTAGACCAAACTGGCATATTGTATTATGACCATTTCCACACAAATCTTTAGATTATTCTTTCTAGCGTTCCCTCACTTCAGTTTCATCCTAAACTGATTCATCACTTTATTTTTAATTCCATTCATTCTATGGAAACTCTTTTTGTGGCCCTCTTTGCTCTCTGCAAAACCAATTCTTTACTTCCATCAAAATAACATCTTCTCTGCCTTTTTAATCTAAACCGTTTCTTCCTCTTGTTGATTATATTCTTTGCAGCTACCTGTTTTCCTCTACACACGCAGTACACTAGTTTTCTCTCATCTTCATTTTGGCAGCAATGTTTTCCTTAGATAATACAAGGCGTAGAAAGAGGGGGGGGGAGGATATTCTTTAAGCTGTGGTATTCATCCATTAAAACCAATTACCGGTATGCCACTTGATCAGCATGGCTATGGATGATCATGGTATAACACCTGCACCTCCAATTTCCTCCTTAAATGTTCTGGAATTCCCTATGCAATATGAAATGAAATTCCTTGGAGTGCTGATTCTTTGAAAATAGGAGGGCAATATACTGTATATCCTCCAGCCGCATGCAGGCTTTTTAATTTTTCAAATGGTTTCCAAATCTATTGAATAGTTTGCCATTGAAATTTGATTGTAGATTTTACTGCAAAACTGGACTGCAAATGTTAACACTAGTACAAACTTAGGAGTTTATATTTTTATTATTTATTAAATAAAGTTGATATCTTTTTTATCTTTAAAGGGTGTTTTTTTAAAAATTTTTTAAAACAATTCTGTTTTCTCTCAGGTCCAGAGACAGCTTCCACACAAAGTAAAATGTGTTTTTTAGCCCTCACAAAGTTGCCTGTCCTAATTCAAACAAGGTAAATTTTACAGACACTTTTCCAAGCATGATTCTATTATTATAAAAAATTCTAATTAATGTATAAATAATATTTTAATAAATATTTAAGGAAGCATCTTCAAGTTTAAAAATCTATGATTCATTCCTCACATTTGTAGTAGCCAAGTATATATGAAGGCATAAGAGCCCAGTGGCATAACACATGTAACATTTAAATAAAAAACCTGTCTGAAACTCTGGAAAATTAACTGCTGTAAGCAGGTGTTGATAATACTGAGCTAGAGGGATCAATGGTCTAGTTCTGTGTTTGTGGAATATTGTAATTCATATAAAAATAGAATTAAAATGTTATAGCTATTAATCTACCTTAAATTAATTATAGCAACTGCACAATACACTATCCTGTATTCATTTGTAATTTTTTTTATATATTTCTAAAAAAAACCCATAGAGAATAAAATCTGGACAGAAAAATTGAACAGTCCAGCATATGTTCAGCAGCAAATGGCTTGACTTAATTAATATATTTTAAGAATGTATTATAGTCTTAAAGGCTAATGAGCCTGCGAAGACAATAGACACATTCAAATGATTATAAAACAAACTCTCAAACTATATTCGACAATACTATTCAAAAGAAAGTATTTTTTGGTTAAAAATAAAATAAAATATGAATGTAATCTAAAACCCAGGTGTCATCTGAAATAAATTAAGAAAAAACGCTGCCCCCATGTCTTAATTCTCTTTAAAACACAGCATGAGAGTAAAGTTAATTTTTCACATCGTGATGAAAGACTTTCTATAGCTTGTTGGTTAAAATGACACCCTCTAAGGCAGTGTTTCTCAACCTTGGTAGCTTGAAGATGGGTGGACTTCAACTCCCAGAATCCCCCAGCCAGCAGCGCTGGCTGGGGATTCTGGGAGTTGAAGTCCACCCATCTTCAAGCTACCAAGGTTGAGAAACACTGCTCTAAGGAGTGTTTTCCTTCTGAACAGGTTAGCTTGGCTTAGTGTAGGAAGGAAGAAATCCATTGTTTGAATGGTCCACCTTCAGCTTATGGGCAGGCAGCTTTCAAAGGCCTTAAGTGCCTATGTTTCTTCTCTTTCATCTCCACTGTCATTCTATCCCAGAGGTCTTCAAACTTGGCCGCTTTAAGACTTGTGGACTTCAACTCCCAGAATTCTCCAGCTATGCTGGCTGGAGAATTCTGGGAGTTGAAGTCCACAAGTCTTAAAGCGGCCAAGTTTGAAGACCTCTGTTCTATCACAATGTCATATTCATTGTATTAAAATACATCCACCTGGCTTCTCAACATATGATGACTCACAGAGTTAACTCATGCCTAAATGACAAATCATAGGGGCTTTTTCATAGCTGCGGCCAAACCAACTGTTAAAAGAACCTTATTATCAGCAATAAAGTTGTAATGGATGGAGAGAAATATATTAGATACAGTATCTGCAACTTTTACCAGAAATCCTGGATTTGCTTGTAATGGGGAGGGAAATACATTTAAAGCCTTTCCTCCACAGACTGTTACACTCTGACTCTGAATATGTGGGCTAATACCACGGTTGAAATGTTGACTCACCTATGCTTTAAAATACGTTGAACTGGAGCCAGAAATTCAACTGGTATAGAAGAGATGTTACGTGTTTTGATCATTTTGCCCCAAATAATATACTGTACCAGCTGAAATTTCTAACCTGAGCATAATTAGATTCTGGGATCATTACTGTCTTCTCTAGTTTGAATTTAAGAAAGATGAAGTTTGAGAAATCTAAACAGACCAGTGCTTAAACATGTTTTTTTTTTAATTTTGATTAATTAATTTTAATTAATTAATTTTAATTAATTTGATTTAATTTTGATTTATATGCCGCCCTTCTCCGGAGACTCAGGGCGGCTTACAATGTGCTCAGCAATAGCCTTCATCCTTTTGTATATTTATACAAAGTCAGCTTATTGCTCCCACAACTGGGTCCTCAATTTACCTACCTTAGAAAGGATGGAAGGTTGAGTCAACCTTGAGCCTTGGCAAGATTCGAACCTGCAGTATTTGCAGGCAGCTGGTCTTAATAACCAGCTTAATAACAGGGTGCCTTACACCACCCTGTTGATTTAAAAACTGGGGTGGTATGGGAAGTAGGTGAACTATCAGTGGTGAAATCCAATTTTTTTTACTACCGGTTCTGTGGGCGTGGCTTGGTGGGCATGGTGTGGCTTGGTGGGTGTGGCTTGGTAGGCATGGCAGTGGAAGGATACTGCAAAAACTCCATTCCCACCAGGGGTGGGTTCTACTTACCTTTACTACCGGTTTGCAGTGGGGCCGTGCGCGTGCTCTTCTGCACAAGTGCAGAAGCTTCTGCACATGTCCAGATGTCGGTGTCGGTGGGCAGAGCCTCCCGCAGGTTTTACTACTGGTTCTATAGAACCGGTATGAACCAGGGGCAACCCACCACTGATTCCCACCCCACCCCAGGGGAAGGATACTGCAAAATTTCCATTCCCACCCCACTCCAGGGGAAGGATACTGCAAAATCTCCATTCCCATCCCACTCCAGGGGAAGGATACTGCAAAATCTCCATTCCCACCCCACTCTGGGCCCAGCCAGAGGTGGTATTTGCCGGTTCTCCAAACTACTCAAAATTTCCACTACCGGTTCTCTGAACTGCTCAAAATTTCCGCTACCGGTTCCCCAGAACCTGTCAGAACCTGCTGGATTTCACCCCTGGTTTATATGTGCTCTCTCCAATACAGAATGATGTCAATCAAAAGGTTAAGAAGCAGTCATTACTTCTACTGAGATTTATAGAATATTATCTCCCATCATACTATTCCAAAACCCTCAAGAAAAGGACATGATTTTAGATGAAAAAACTGACCCTAATTCATCCACCTATCCTCCCACCCGTTTCGTTTTTTTTTTTCTGTTAAAATGCTACAAGCAAATATTTGATAGAATTTAACCACTGATATTTCCCTTCTTCATGTGGGCTCTGCGTCTCTTATTCAATCCTATGAGAGAACATTGGAGACAGTTCTATGGTCTATCCAACAATCCATTTACCAGCAGGATTTGTAATTTTAATCTGCATGTGTCTGGTTAAATGAAGAGAAAAAGAAATGCTGCCTCATCATGATCAAGACTAACTAACAAAAGAAATGTGGTCATCAGGTTACTAGAACCAGAATAAATTACTAGGCAGTGTAACATGAGCTCCTGAAGGAACAATAAAAAACCGTGGAAGCTCAACGAAACAATTGATTTCTCTTGTAGTCTTAATTAGATTTACACAAAGGGTACAGAAACAGAGAGTTGCATATGGCCTTACCAACCTATTGAACTTATACCCTGCTACAAACAATAAATCCAGAACTAGAACGTTCTCAGCCAATGGCTGCCCAATATTTGGCATAGTTAACAAGATTAAAGTTCTGTCAATCTGATTAGCTGAGTGAGAGCTTGACTACAGAAAAATTACAGACAAAGAAGATGGATTACAATAGATGATTAATTTGTTCCTAGCTGCCTTCATTCAGGTTAAAGGCTTATATTTTATCTGTTTTTATTTTCCATATTCCCACTAGAAACATTCAAAAAAGTATGATTCTTGTACAAAATATATCATTTCCATTAAAAACACACTGATCATAATAATGCCATCTGATCCGACCTAATTAATGCAGGAACCACAAAGCTGGAAGATTCTCAACAATGGAAGAAGACCAAGTGGGATTATCACAATTCTAAATAATTGGCCCCATTGTCCAACTGTCCCATTTGTCTTAATGATCAGCCAAGATCTACATGTGTCTAACTCAAACGTGAAATGTAGCCGAAGTGTCTCTTCTGTGAGAGAGCTTCTTTTTCTACTAATATCCCCTTATTTTCCTCTTTAGCAATCAGTTTCCTTTCAAAATTAAAAAGAAAAGTATTTTTAATTTCATTTCTTATATTTAAATTACCAAAATGTACCTAAGAGTAGTTTTAAAAATACGTGCATAAACTAACAGAAAGTATGGGGGAGAGAGGGGGAAAAGAAACATAATAAAATAGGAAGACTAGATGATAGTTACGGCCTATCAAGAATGCACAGGCCCTATAGCTCAAAGGCAGAACACCTGCTTTCCATGCCAAAGGTGCCAAATTCATGCCTTAGCATCTCCTGAAATGGTTAGGGGAAACTCCAATAAGTGAGATCTAGAAAATCATTGTAAACCAGTACTTCAACAACACTGTGCTAGATGGACCAGTGATGAAAGGCACTTCCTATGTTCCTAAGAATAAAAGCAATTTTTTAAAAAATAGTATTTCAAGAGCAGGGACAAATTATGAAGAAAGGTTTACCCTGCCTTAAAAAGGTAAACATGGTGGCACCAGGAGGTTAGATGGAATATTCTTGGTTGGAATTGAACTGCCGTATTATCAATTTACATCAATGCATTCAATTTTGGGAAGAGGAGCATGCAGCTATGCATTCATTGCACTGTGGGGGGGGGAGGGGTGGGTAAGGAGAGAGTAAAACTCGTAGATCGTTATGTATAAGCAGGGCTGTGTGTTCCACATCAAATATGTGATTCAGAAAATTTGCAACTGAAACTTAAGCAAGTGGATGTGCTTTTATTTGGCATGAATCATTAACTATTTTCTTTCCAAAATTGAATTGTAATTTTTTGCAAGGCATAGACAGTGGGTATGACATGGACATCAAGGTTACATAAACAATGACATCAGAAGGCAGAAGATAATAGTTGTTAGAAAAGGAAAGAGTATTCGTCAATTTGGATGAGAGATGCTTGCCTCATCCAGCTGTTCCTCATACTTCATCGGCTGTTCAGGAACAGCATCCCTAAATTGACCATGCACAATTGCGCATATGCCCTCAGTCCAGAATGGTGAGGACAAAATGGATGCATTCTTAAAACAGTTTCAGAAAGGATTTCTGGGGATGCACACAGCTCTGGTTACAGGGGCACAGGAGAGAAACAGACACGGTGTTTACTATGCATGGTGGTGCAAATTGGGGGAATTCATCATGCCCCTGCATTTGGCAAATATGTGTGAACAGAGCGTCAACTTGCTTGTTTTGAGCAGATCCTCCTGTCTTCTTCTAACTTCTCTGCTTCTCTGCCTCCCTCTGTACATCTTCCCTCCTCCTCCCCATTGCGTACTTGCCAAGACTCCTGTTGTATGACAATAAATCCATGTGGGTGAAGGCTGGTCCATGGGGGGGGGAGGAATGTTGCGTTTTTCTGCCTTCCCCCATCGCACAGCAGGATAAAAGGCCACATAATCTTAGGAGGCTGAAGGATGAAAGACCCCCACCGCTCCACATTCCGCCCCCAAACCCAGAGGAGGAAGAGCAGCCTACAGGGGGACTCTCCATATTGGAGCCCCCTGACTTAGCTCACATACTTACCTGCTCTGAATAGTCATTTCCGTCTACGTCGTCACTGTTGGAGTGGCCTCCGGGGCTTTGTACATCTATCCCATGACTCTCCAGGATTGCTGCTTCTTCGAAAAAAGCAAATTGATCCCTAAATTATCTGCTGCAGGGTTACCAATAAGGATGAAGATGAAAAACCAGAATTTTCACAAGTGGGGCATCTTGTTTCTTGTAAGAACCTCAAAGAAATACTCCGAACTTTTTTTGTTTGTTTGTTTAAAGTCAGCTATAAGAAAAAAATAATTCTGCAAGCCAAATTCTGCCAAAGGCTACAAAGATTTACTCCATTTGCAGAATTTCTGACGCAGGCTTGGATAAGTTCTGATTTTACACAATTTCCTATGGTCTTACTAGTACTGGGGGAGAAACAACTGTCTTTTTACAGGATACTAAAATACCTTTCATGACTGCCTCTTTAAATTTAGAGAATTTAGCAAATGCTATTTATGGATTCAGAAGGACTGGAAACTTTTAAATCAAACTTCCTTCTAAATCAAAAGAGCAATTCTCAACAGCTGCATTCTGCAACTGGCATCATGGTTTGGATTATCTTCCTGTACTCCTGTAGAATCAGGTCACTCACAGAACTCGCCCTACCAAATAGGCTTGCATTTAGGAGGCCCTTCTTAAGAAAGGGACAAAATGCACATTTGATTAATGAAACCATAATCAAAGGAATAAAGCAACATCTCTCTTATTTTCTATGTAGTGATTGTGACTATTCCTTTTCTACAATTTTAATTCTGGCTTGATGGTTCTTACAATAAACCCAATAGACCCTAAGTGAAGTCTCCTTTTCATCTTCATTTCAATATGGTGCAAGCCCCTTTTGTGCATGTTGTTGCACTGTTAAAAAAAGGAAAATTAATTTGGTTGGAGGAGTATAAATGCCAATTTAAAAGAAAGGAAAAAAAAAATCAGTTTCTATCCAGGGTCATCAGCCTTTGAAAATATTTTATAACCCCAAGTGGATTTCTAGCTGGCACCAATCCCTTGGCTGCAGAGCTTGCAAAGCCTGTCCCTTGCAATAGAAATATTCCAGGTTGCAACTCACAAGTTATATGAAGATAACAAGATGCTTCATTATTTTTTGTGAGATTGCAAAGCATCTTAGATTCATGATACTTTATTGGTCTGCTATCCATATCACTGTTTGGAGTTTGGCTTTCTCGTGCTACTGGACAAAATCTGTCAGCTTCCTTTTGGTGGGTTTTTTTTCCCAGACACCATCTTCCTATCTTATTCTAAGGAAGTATAAGAACATAAGAAGTTCCCTGCGTGGATCAGCTCAAAGGTCCATCTAGTTCAGCATTCTAGTTCCAACAATGGCCAGAGAGATGCCTCCAGGAAGTCAAGTCAAGCAGGACTTGAAGGCACCACTTATCTCTGGTGGTTGTAACCTTCAGCAACTGGCATTTCGAAATACATTGCATCTAAAACTGCAGATTGCAAATAATCATTCCAGTTAACAGCCAATAAAAACTCTTCTGCTCCATCATTTGCTTTTGTGCCCTATGAAAAATAATTTAATTGTGGGGCAACCACCGTATTGTGTAAAACTGTCAAAAGTTTGCTTTTTCTTGTTTGTTCTCTCTTGAATGTGCTATCAGTCAATTTCACTGGAAGAACCTGAACTCTTAAATTATTTAAAAAGTTCAGAAATCTGGGGGGAAGATTTATACTTGAGGTTTTTCTCTGAAAGGATACACAAATTAAAAATTCAAAGCAAAAAGAAATTAATTTATGTAATTAATTGCACATTTATATGTTAAATATTTTATATGATAGATAGGCACAATTTAAAGCTCCTTTTCTGCATAATATGTTAGAAAATTGAAATGTGTTATTTACTATTCTATATCCAAAGCATTTCAAACTCTGGAAAGTACCGGATACCTATATTATTTATCAGTATACAAGAAATGCTAATTAAAGTGAGGACGTTTCTTTAAATATTTATTTTCTCTAGCAGAATGTTAGGTGTTGTATGGTATTATATTTGTGACTGTGGTGAGATGATAAAGAGGGAGAAGGATGTGAAGGAAAACTAAATTGGGGGACAAAGATGGGAACATGCCACTGTCCATGGCATCAGAAGGGCTTAATCAGAAGACACATTAGTCTGTGGTCGAGAGTGATCAGCTGTAAGAGACATACCCAAGGGGGAACTCAGCAAACAATTATGCAAAGCTTTCTTCCTGCCCAGCTGTTGTTGCAGTCATCACTCCCTAGTTTAAACTTTTTTTTTAACCAGCGACAGCAACCCAAAATAGGCACATGGCTGCTTCACCAGCACATGGTTATCACTAATCCTTCCTCAGTCCAATTTTACCAATTCACTAAATATCTGCAGGGAATAACAGTTAAGGTGGGAGGAACAAAAATGCTGCTACTCCTGCCAGCCAACTCTATGTCTAGAGATATATAATGGGGAGTATCCATTGCTCACCTGCTTCTGTTCCATTTGCATGGAACACGAAGCTACAGCCAAGGCATGAAAACGTAAACCACAGTTTCAGATCATAGTTATGTGGAACATTTTAGTTACTCCTGGCCTAGAATAGATTTGGACTGCAGGCTAAGACAAGCTTTATAAAGATGTATGTGTCGTACAAACTTGTTCAATAGCTTGAACAGCTTCTGCTTCACTTTGAGGACATTGGGAGAAATAAGGCAGGTTTTTCAAAATAATCCAACTGCAAGGAAAGCTTTTCAAAGCAAATTGTTGGTCCCAAGCAATGTGGTATATTGTAGAACATTTTGAGGTATGTTTTAGGGTTCATATGTAGCACTTACTATTCTATTGGGCCTTATTGCCACCTTAAGTGTATTAAAATTCATTACTGTATGGCCTAATATTCCCAGGTAATCACAGTGGTGGACTAAATATATTTCATCCGTTGATCTTTTCATCAGAGCAAGTGCAGAGAAGTTTCCAACAAAACTGGAAATCTCTAGGTTTTCTTGAAAGGCATGATGAAATTCCCTGACCTAAGGGACTTAAAGATGCTATTATACACATATACCAATGCTTTTTGACAACATGTTAACATTGATGAACTGTTCAGTAACAACAAAGGATGAGAGAAAATTTGTTTTGACCATGTTGTCAAGCTTTTACTTTAAAAATATTATCAAGGCTCTGTTTTCCTGTTAAGAAAAGTCAATCATGTTCCATCTTTCTTCAGCAGTTCTTCAAGGCTGTCTGATACATTACCAATATTGGCTCGCCTCTTGATTTCCTTCCTTCTATTGGCAAACCAATTGTACACTTTGAGGGAGGTAACTCGCTCCAGATCTGACAGCTTCTTTCCTGTGCAAAATAAAAAAGAAACCATGTTGGTTATAGAAGCTTACTCCTAGAAGCTCCAGGGCAGGATTTAGAATAGAATATCAGAGTTGGAAAGGACCTTGGAGGTGGTTTTCCCAAACCATATGAGAGGCTATTTTCTAAATAATAATAAAAAAAAAAACACCCCAAACCTAAAAACCCTTTTAATAGTTTTTGGACCTGAGGGCTACAAAGTGAGTATAACCACATCACACATGGAAGAGTACCTAGGACTGAGGAGGACAGGGATCTTAGGGCTTAATCTTCTTGTGTTTCCCACCAAATTCAATAAACAGCAGCACCTCTGATATCCTCCAAAAAGGAACTTGGGACTGCAATTTGCTCACCCTACCTTATTTTCACAAACCACATGCAGCATTTAAATCCCACCCTACATTTTGTCCTTCTAAAGCACCCTTTGAATATACTGTTGGGTATTACTCAGTGCAACTGCCAAAAATACATCCTGCCCTTTTGAAGGTAGAAACAGATGAACATTATAGCATAAGAACAAGGAAGTTAACACTATTAATTCAGCACTTTTTGTTTTTTAAGTAAAAAAATGGCTTGACATACTTTGAGCTTCACAGTTCTCTTTCAAAAAGGCTGTTCTGTTTTGAAACACTCCCCAAAACCTGATGGTCTCCCCCACCCCCACCCCCATCACAAATCTCTTTTCTTCTTTCCTTTTTAACATTTTTTTGCCCAAACAGAAAATATTCCTGGGATGGTGAATTACTACTGAAACTAAAAATGCATTGGGTCATTTTTGAAAATAATGATGGCATATTTGGATACTGTATTTGTTTTTCATTTTGTCTAGGGTTCACACATTTTCTATGATACCTCATGCATGGATGATTGAGTTAGGACCAATAAGAAAAATATATGTTTAAGTAAACAAGGCAAAATATATATTAAGAGAGAGGGGTGGGGTAGGGTAGGGTAGGGTAGGGTAGGGTAGGGTAGAAAGGAAGGGAAGGGAAGGGAAGGGAAGGGAAGGGGAGAGGAGAGGAGAGGAGAGGAGAGGAGAGGGGAGGGGAGGGGAGGGGAGGGAGGGGAGGGGAAGGGAAGGGAAGGGAAGGGAAGGGAAGGGAAGGGAAGAGAGGAAGAGAAGAGAAGAGAAGAGAAGAGAAGAGAAGAGAAGAGAAGAGAAGAGAAGAGAAGAGAAGCGAAGAGAAGCGAAGCACATATCCCCTGCTTGGCTTCCTTGTGTACCTGGCTTTTGAATAACTGCATTACAAGCATTTGCAATTTCTTCTCTCTTGGCCTCATCAGGATATTGATTCTCATTGAAGTAGCTACAGAAACAAAGAGAGTGTATTCATCTTAGAAATCGTATTTCTTGTACCCACACAAAATAAAGACAACAAGTTCAAGCCACAAATCTTTAAGAAACCCTGTACAGAGGAAAAACATCACCAATTTTGAATGTATGAAAGAGACTTGTAGGCTGTGAAGAATAATGTTCTTCAGTGGTTCAGATTTGGAGCAGGGGAAAATGCCCATATAACTCATGTCAGCAACTCCTTAAAGCAGCTGCCTCTTTTTCTGGAATCATTGCAGGATAATCCCAGGAAGAGAGACCTTTGTCTTAAAGAGTTGCCAATGCGTTTTCTCTTTTGAATCAGAAGAGCTGCACAACCATAGCGCATATGAGTCAATGTTCGGAGTTCAAGTCAGAGGTAGCCAACCAGAAGCACTTCAGGTTCTTCTTCAAAAGGTTATCCTCCTGGTGATAGGTATGTAACAGGATTAAGAAAACTGTCACCATTAAACATGATTTATATCCAGGTTAATAAAGAGATTTACAAATTATGAATTGGCATTACTTGAAAATGTTACTAGCAAAATGTGATAACAGCCATCACATTCATCATAGACAAATGCATAAATATCGATGTGAGAAAGAAGATAGAAATGTGTCTCTAGCAACTAAAGTATGTGCTAACATATAACTGACCACTTAACAGGTAGGCTGGTGAGATTTATTAAATATTACTTAGAGGTTCTGATGCACTAATTTTTTGGGCATGGAACCAAGTAAACTTCTAAATTGTATTATCAGAACATAGATCTATCCAGTTTCAAGACCAAGTTAGGGGCATAGGCTGCTTTCTACCTTCTGTGATATTTCAACCCATTTCTGGATTATATTTGTTGAATTTATATTCTACCTTTTTACTTACAGTAGCTAACAATCAAAAGTATAAAATACAAATTCCAATTTCAAAACACTGATAATGCACCATTAGAAACATATCAATAAAATCAGCCCTTCCCCACCCATTTAAAGCCCACTAAGGAGGCATTCTAGCTGACCCATCAAAAACCTGTCCCAATAAAATCATTTTGACCTGCTAGTGGAAGAATAATTGCTTGTCCGAATTATCCTAGTAGCAAAGCTTTTGTTTTTGTTACTTAAATGATCCCTCCTCTTTTCTTTTTGAAGATCTAAGGAAAAACTGAGAAGCATTTATTTATCAAATTTTGATATCACCCATCTCACAATCCAAGTGTCACTGGGAGGTTTATAAATTTTTAAAAATGTGCAAGTTCCAGTCTGTTGAAAGGGGCTGGCATAACTAATAAGCATTAGATTGCTATTAATATTTTTAAAATGTGCATATTTTGTTATCTAATCCAAGGAATCTGGCTAGAAGTTTGGACCAGCAAGGACATGTCACAGCAAAATTCAGTCCCATCCACATGTTGCTTTTTCAACCTTTCCATCCTCTTGGCCCAGAGCCCTCCAGCCTCCTCAGCTATTTTGGATTATCCCTTGGGTGTCTTTTTAGTCACCCTCATTAACTAGTGCCATATTTTTCAGACTGAGAGAACTGCTATATGGAGAAAGAGTTCCCTCCAGCTACACCGATCCAGAGAGTTAGGTGTCTGGCTATGCCTCGACTGGCTTTGCTACTGCTTATCCCACTGGGCCCAGGAATTTTTTTTGAGGGGGTGGTGGTAGAGAAGAGCAGGCTAGAATGAAGGGAAGTGAAATAGGCAACAGATGAAGGCAGCCAGAACTTCTAGTTCGTAAAACATATGTTTTTCATTATGGATGCTTAAAAATAGAAGCCAAATATTAACATAGGTGCACAGGAGTCCTACAGCTCCTACTACAAATAACAGATATGAGGTGTTAAGGAAAGTCAGTTAATTAATGGCTATGGAAAGTATCTTTTTTTTTTCCTATTACCGTGTTCCCTGAAAATAAGACCCTGTCTTATATTTTTTTGAACCCTGAAATAAGCGCTTGGCCTTATTGCCATGCACTCAAAAGCTTGGGCTTATTATCAGGGGATGTCTTATTTTGGGGAAAACAGGATATTATTACCTGAGAGAATGGAGAATCATTTAAAAAAACAGAGAACACAGGATGGAAAAAAGAAAAGAAAACCACTATAACCTACTTTTGAGATTGGCTCTTGTTTCCATGTTTATTTCGTGATTTGTGGGGTAGACGTTTGAGAACTCTCCTTTTGTGTTCCCCAGTCTTCTCTTGGATGCCTGCTTATCCCCTTCCTTTGGCCACCTAATAGTTTCACATCCCTCTCTCTCCATTCCTGGTTAATTATTCTTATGCGGTAACATTAAGGATACTTTCAGATTGTCATACAGAACAAAATCTTTCCCACTTCTATTAAAGTTACAGTACAGTATTTAGCTCAAAGTATTACACATGTACATATAAAAAAGAAGAGCCTGTTTGGTGAAATGGTTAAGGTATAAGGCTAGAAAGCGGGAGACTGTGAGTTCTAGCCCCACCTTAGATATGAAGCCAGCTGCGTGATCTTGAGCCAGTCCCTCTCTCTCAGCCCTAGGAAGGAGGCAATGGCAGATCAATTCTGAAAAATCTCACCAAGAAAACTGCAAGGGGCTAGACTTCAAAGCAAATGCATTAGAAATATGTGTTTAAATACAATTTTCATGCAGATCTCAGAATCTCTTGGTTGAACTGGGCGACTACAGAGAATGAATGAATGAATTAAATTGAATTAATGAATGAACAAACAAATGAATGAATGAACATCAAGGCATGCAAATACCGAAGTCTAGAACGTGACTGATACAATCTGTTTACCTCGCCTTCTGTTAAAAGCCTATCATGTTTTACCATTCCTACCACTATGAAGATTTTCTCCAACTGCCCTTTCATACCACTCACAGAAAGTATATGGTTTAATCAACATTTGAATAGTGCCAATATCAATAGGAACCCAATACAATAAAGAGAGATTGTGAGATATAAAGGCAAAAAGATATGTGATTGTTGACACCCTATTAAAGTGGTCCCCACTCCCAAATGGCTATCAAAAATTATTAGACTATACTAAGTTCAGAATGCATTGAAGCAGTGAAGCAAAAAAAAAAAAAAAAGTGTAGCGTATGGGTAAATAGATGGGGTTGGGGAAGGAAGCAGCAAGATGTGCAGAATGAATGATTACAAAAGCCTGGGGATAAACCTTCAACAAATGCAATTGTGCTTTCTAGACAAAAGGCGCCCGTCAGGATGGCGATGGCTGATTGCAGAGAGAATCAAATGATCTCTTTTGTGTAGGGTGACAGTAAAGGATGAAAATGAAAAGTGGCCAAAATGTGTGAGCTGGACTAGAATGTGAAGCAATGGCAAAAAGACTGAAATATCCTTGAAGCAGTTCATTTCTATGATTTATGTGGGACGTAGAAATACTGCCAACTTGTAGAAATCTGCACCATCAGAGACAGTATAAGCAGAGCACTGAGAAAACGCAACTCTGATTATTGGTTAGGCAAAATAATTTTTGGTTCTGCATTAATGTATCCTACATTGTGTGAAGTGTTACCATCCATCCTGCATATACAAAATTCTGTCAGGAAGCTGCACATTTCCAACATAAAACCTTGCTTTCCCTAAATGTCTGTGAAGATTCTCAGTCATCCAGGTCATGGCTGTCCCAAAGGTGCTTTTTCAAAAGGCAACTGGACTTTGTCTTTTCTTGAAGATATTTCGCTTCTCAACCAAGAAGTTTCTCAGTTCTGACTGATACGACTACCTACCTCCTGTTTACAACACAGTCCCTTTAGCAGTTCCAAGAAGGTTCTACACCTATTTGCACTATTCAGGTGATCCTGAGGGCACTGATAAACCTCCAGATGGTTTCAAAAAGAGTGCTAACACACAGATGACTGCAAGGAATATAAATCCTTCCATCCGCCACATTCAATCAGCATTTTACATCACTACTGCTTTCTCTATTTCTATATTCTTGACTCCAGAAGCAGCGTTGAGTCTTGCTCAGTAAGCAGGCCATAGACCTTTCCAGGATCCATCTATCTTTCCTTCTTTCCTTCTTTCCTTCTTTCCTTCTTTCCTTCTTTCCTTCTTTCCTTCCTTCCTTCCTTCCTTCCTACCTACCTACCTACCTACCTACCTACCTACCTACCTATGATTCCTCAAATCCCTTAACACTATTGTCACAAAATCACAAAAGTAGATAGGTGTATTAAAACTTCAGGAGGCTTAAATATATTTATTACTGTTTTAACCCTTCTCCACTCTCAAGAAAAGGGCCAGGAGAAAGGAGCCCCAAATCTTACTCCTAATCCCATTAAGTGATATTGTTATAAGTCTTGCTCATGTGGTCAATAGTCACTTAAACAATTGAAAAATGCCCTAGACTTGTTTGTTGTCAGAATTAAACAGACAAATTCCTCCATCAACTAAGAATGGCTATGCATCTACATGAACAGCTTAACAATAATAAATGGATGCATTTGTGTCTAAAGTTATTTTCACAATTATCAGGAATTGATAATTATCAGGAACTGCTGAATGATAGTAATTATCATATACTATTATGTTTTAAAGATTTAAAGAGAGACAGCATGTAAGTTTAAGATGGCAAAGTGGTATCCATTTTTTAAAGATGGACAAGGAATGTCACCTTATTTAAAATGTCTTACATGCCATTCTTTGAGACAAGCTTTCCCATAACTTCACTTTGAACAATGCCAATAGCCTATTTTGATGGAAGATATAAAGGATACATACTTTGTATGCATTTGTAATAATTCACCATTGGAAAATCTGAGCCATTACTTGCTTACATTGCAAGTTATATCAGGAATCTAGAGCTAGATTCATCATACCCTTGGTAACCGAACTGAATCCCTTGTTAATCCAACATCATAACCTTGTTAATCCAATTTTAGTTTGTAAGAAAAAAAAAATCAAATCTGATGACTGATGTAGATAAATATGTAACAAATAAAGTTTCATTGTTTGCAATGGCCACAAGGAAGATATGAAAGCACATGTTGAAAAATAGTGCTGTTAATATTAGAGGGGATGTATTGAATTGATATGGATTGTTGTAATTTTATGTGAATTTTGCTAAAACATATGGTTGCAAATAAATGTATAAACATATTATGCAACAATTGAAATACGGAACTAATTTATATCAAGAAAGGAGCCTTAATGATATAAACCAAGCATGCATGATACCTGCCAAGGCTCCAAGAGACAACTTTTTACCATAAAATAAAGTAGTAAAAATCTCACATCTTTTCAGATTAAAAAAAAATAACATCCAGGCATTGTATGCGCACAACACTCCCTGAAGGCAAGAAAAGCTTCCAAGCTCAAGTGCAAATGCAGTGATTAACAGACTGAGCTTTAGTCAGAACTGGAAACTCCTTGTTTTATGATTTCCCTGGGTGCCCTTAACTAAGCTACTCTCTCGTCCTTCCTCTTGCATTTGTAATATTGAGAAAATATTATTGATCTAATTTAATGAATGATGATAACGGATTACAAACCCAATCCTCATTTATTTGGAGAATTCTAGCTCTACAATATTTGGTACTGATAAATAGGGATTGCTACTTTTTGCTATTTAATGATACCTTTGTAAAATATAAACTGTGAGAATTGCTATCCTTCTCATTCAACCTCATTAATCCAAGAATTGTAACCTAGAGTTAAGGGACTCTATCTAGTCTCCAACACATACACATACTATAATACTAAGGTATCATATAATACTAAGCCTAAGGTAACAATTGATAGAAACTAACCAAAGAGAGAAGTAACCTAGAACTAAGGAGAAAGTTCCTAATGGTTAGAGCAATCAACCAATGGAACAGCTTGCCTTCAGAAGTTGTAGATGCTCCATCACTGGAGGCTTTCAAAAAGAGATTGGACAACCATTTGTGTAAAATAGTTTAGGGTTTCTGGCTTGAGCTGGGAGTTGGACTAGAAGACCTCCAAGGTTCCTTCCAACTCTTTTAATCTATGTTCTATATATTAACAAGCTTGCTGATTCTCACATTGGGGAGGGTCATTCTGAAATGTTAGAAAACTGATTTGGAACAAACTGAAGGCTAGTAGGCATAGATTTCAGAACAAAACTCTTCGATAATCTAGTTCTACTTTTATTGCACATACTATAAAAGGTGTACTTAAAGCAGAATTCTTAAGCTTCAAATGATATATTTACATCAAACTGTATATTTCATTTTTCCACCTGTATGCCCTAACAATGTTTGTTTTACTGTGATGGTAGACATCTGCAAGTTGTTATTCCAATGGCCTTGCTGGTTCTCAGGCTCTTTGTACTCAGACACAATTCTTCTAGCCTCACACAAGTGTTAGTATGGCTGAGCATGGCCACCACTCAGATAGATGGGACTAAAAGTTTCAGATCATTTTTACGTACACTTTAAGTATGGAGGAATTCAAAAATTGGATTAAGGTGCCGACTTTGTTTCATAAATTGCCAAATCCATTCAGATGGATTTCTTTTTTTCAATAGGTTTCTGTATGTACTTTAAGCCATTATAAGAGTGTCCTGAGTCTGGATAACATTATGTGAAATATTTGATGTTAAGAAGTTTGTGTTTATTCATAACTGATTTTACTTACTTTAAGTCTCTAAGGCAGACTAGAAATGTGAATTAATAATCATATAATCAAACTGACTTCCCATTTATATCCAAAGCATTTATCTGGAGTAACTGTAGTTCCCCTCTCAACAGAGAAAACTAACTCATATATTGTGGTTATCCAGCCTTAAGTTTAAAAATAAGTATACATTTACTGGAGGTGCTTTTTTTCTTTGGCTTTCAGATTGTAAATACTCTAGAATTTAAAGTGCAGAAAAAAACAGGTTCTGAATATACTGAAGAAAAACAAACAAAACATAAATGATTGGTGACAGGTGAATTTTTGTTGTGGTATTCCTACAAAAAACATCAAAGGACGGAAAATTGAGTCTGAAATGGCTACAGAGTTTTAAGAATGTAATCCTCCTTTGGTCTTCATTGGAGAAATTAGTGATATCAGAAGGAGTGATTTGTCACAGGATGAGGCTAGCAAACAAATGACTGTTATCTAAAATCCTCATCTAAAACATTCCCAGAGTATTCTTGCAAATCTACAAAATTATGCTGCATATTTGAGAACCATCAAGACCCGTGAAGTGGCTAGTTTCCATTAATGAGTTATTAGGACTCAATTCTTGCACCAATGATATTACTCACTACTGTATATTTCCACATACCAGAGCAACATTGCTGTAGGGCACAACAATATTATATAATATGGCTTGTTCACTTGCATATCTTTTGGTGTGATCTCTTGCATATTTTTCACTGAGTAACCACTGATTGAATAGCATCACACACACACACACAATTAAAAAAAAATATCTTGGGCTTTGTGAGATGGTCTAATCCAGCGATGTCAAACTCAAGGCCCAGGGAATGGATCTAGCCTGTGGGGTACTTAGATCTGGCCCGCAGGGCCACCCTGCAAACAGTGAAGGACCGGCCCGCGGTGCTTCTGCCAGCGAAAATGGGCTCCCGAGCTCCGTTTTGCTGGCAGAGGGCTGTAGGAGGTTGGGGCAGCTGAAAATGGAGCTCAGGAGCCCATTTTCGCTGGCAGAGCACTTGGGTCACCACAGGTGTCCCCGACATGAGTAATGTTGAGCTGGCCATGCCCACCCCGGCCCCTGGAGGTCAAACACAACCCTAATGCAGCCCTCAAACTCAATCGAGTTTGACACCCCTGGTCTAATCTAACTCTCACTACATACTGTGTATGTAGTTCATCAAGTTCATGTATTACCTTTCCATGACAGCCAAACATTCCTTTCTCCAGGTAAACCGACTGCCACGTCGCAAGCGGAAAGTCCCAGAGGTAGCTGTGACTGGCGGAGGCGTCTGTCTCCATTCTGGCTCTTCAACTGGAAGAGGGGCTGGTCTCATGCTTAATGTAGCCCCTGGAAAAAGCAAAGCAGAAAGCAAAATGTTTCCTAAGGAACTAAAAATAACACCCACTCCTCTTCCCAGTCTGGCTGATGACAGGGAACATTTCCCAGTGGGATGAGACTTTGTTTCTCTGAAATTAAAATTAAGATAACTAGCAATAAAGAGAAACAGAGCCCTGTGTGTATAACAGAAGAGCTCCTGATAAAGAAATTAAGTTGAAGAACAGTGCAACAGCCTGCAAGTTGTCACATCAAGTCTCCTGACACCTCACATTCAAGCAACAGCTAATATTACAGTGCAGAATTCCAAAATAGAAGGTCCCATTACCATTTAGAGATTATGAATGGCACATACATATACAGTCATGCCTCTTTTGACTGATGGCCTATAAATACGATGGCTAGTGGGAAGGAAATTCTTAGCATTCTGGGGCTGTCACTACATAAGCAAAGGACAGATTCTAGGCACTGTTACTTAGACTAGCTTTCCTAGCAAGCAGTTAACAAAGATAGTACACTTGATCCCATGGGTAAAATAAACCGATCTTGGGCATGAAAGTAGTATTTTTTTCATGCTGTTTCTCTATCCAATATGCCTCACCAATGCAGGATTTCTAATATATCAGTTCATGCGGTACCACTATAATTTAGTGTGATGGCTTATAACATATTGTAAGTAGCCTGGTAAGTATAAGAGATACTTGTTTTCCCCCCTCACATTGAGAGACTATTCCTATAAAGTCCCTTACATGCTTTCCCTCTTCTCTTATGCACACCCAAACACAAAGACTAATTATTACCTAACATTATGGCAGCACTGCCTCCTTCCTTGTCTGCACCTCCTCTCATTAAGTACTCCCTCTAATGTACAAAACATTTGGGGTTTTGTATCTGAACAGCTGGAATGTTCATTAACATTCAATAACACCTTAGCAGTTTAGACAACAGCATATTTAAGCATATGAAAGCACAGATATTCAGGCTAATTAAAAAAGCCAGAGACAGTCAAGCGACTTCAGATTAATAATGATTTACAAATAAATCTATATTTACTACAGATTGCTTATTTTTCCTGTTTAGTATATTTCATGTTTAACAGCAGCACAGCAAACCCAGAAGATAAAAGTTCAGAGATGTTGTTGTGGATACCTGTGCCAATGACATCAGAGAAATATCTACATAACTGTGTATGGTATGTATTGAAATAGGATCTCAACTTTTAAACGGATTTATTCAGCCTGCATTTCCAAAACATTGCAGATTAGAATACAGGTATTTACAAAATTCAACATTTTTCTTAATGCTGTCATGTAATCTGCAATTCTAAAACAATTTACAAATATATACTGTAAATTAGGGCAAAATAAGAGCAAAAGTATGTTCACTGGTTTTGATTAGGTGAAAAACTATTCAAAAACATTTATTTATTAAATTTATATGCCAACCATCTCGAGACATATAAATTCATATAGGAAATTTATATACATATAAATATTTCTGTATTAATGTACATATTCATAAATATGTATACAGAGGAATGTACATACAAATCTGTACAATTTGAGGGAAGAAGGGACAAATTTGCAAGCGAAAACTGAATTTTGGGCTCATAGTTCATTTCAAAATAAATTGACCAAAAGTGAAATTTACAGTTTCATCTTCAAACTGTAGCTTTAAAATTTGTTTTAAAATAAAGTATCAGTAGCCAAATGCAAAATACTGAGAGGAGGCTCAGTATTTTTGCTGAAAAGCAAAACTTCTCTCTTGAAATCCTTTTTTGGTGAACACTGGAGCAGAATGGGAAAGAGAGTAGATTTCTGTAGCGTTTAGCTTCTAGATAACAGACACAAATAATTCTATGAGACAAGCATTTTAAAGATGCTTCTTAGTTAAAAAGGAAGACAAAAAAAAATCTATACATTTTCTTCGGCAATATTTCTGGTTCCATGTAAATCACTTATTATTGACAGGCCTGCTTTCTGAACACACAACACGTTTTCCCTGCTCTGCAGTTCCTCCTCTTAAGTATTAGAAATGGCCATGCAAAAGAGCAGCACAGCCAAGAGATTAGATCACTTGGCTACAACCCTGAAAGCTTTGCTACTTCAAAGCCTACTTTTAATTCAGTACGTGATGATTCTGTCATCCCACTCCTTGTAAAAGGAAAAACACGCCTACCTGGTAGAACTAAAACCCACTTTATAAGAAAAGAGTTAGGGATATTTGGCAGCCACCACACTGCTTGTATACAGCTAGTTGCTGCAGCTCTGCTGGAACACACATTCACAGTTCACTTCCTTTCGCCTGCACCATTTTCTAGGAACAAAGACCCAGTCATATCTGGGTTCATCACCAACTTCCTTTTTCTTCCAACTTCTGTTTTAGCATTGTTATAGTTTTCTGTTCTTTTCTTCCTCTATTCTCCTTGGCTTCTTCCACCAACAATTTTCATGGGTCACTCTTCGCATGAAAGGGCTGGCCTGCAACTTGGAACTACTCTTGGACTCTTAGCCCTTGCTAGAAAAGGAAGAACAGGAAAAGTGAGAGGAACCTTTGCTTAGCTGAGGTTGGTGTCCAGTTTCATATCTATTTGGACCCCTTGGTGAGATTGTTGTAACACTCTCTTCACGGTGCTGCTGTTGAAAATGATTCAAAAGACAGAGGGGATAAAAATACAATAGCCAAGTTACTGGCAAGTGAGAGTTGCAATATAAGATTTATACTTATTTTTTGGTTGCTGTTTTGGTTGCCAACTGGTTTCTAATCCAATTCTGTTTTTAACCTCTAAACCCCTGTAAAGGGGTTCTATCATTCATTTTCTCCAAATGAAACCTGCCTGATGTATGTATCCATGTAGGACAGGGGTATCAAACTCGATTTCTTTGAGGGTTGTGTTTGACCTCGGGGTTTGGCCAGGATGGGCATGGCCAACTTGACGTCACTCGTGTCAGGGGTGCCTGTGGTGGCCTGAGCGCTCTGCCAGCGAAAACGGGCTCCCGAGCTCCTTTTTTGGCTGTGACAGCCTCCTGCAACCCTCTGCCAGTGAAAACAGAGCACGGGAGAACCGGACGTGACCCTTTCAAGTTCCATTTTCGTTGGCAGAGGTACCACGGGCCAGTCCTTCACTGTTTCCAGGGTGGCCCCAGGGGCCAGATCTGGCCCCTGAGCCTTGAGTTTGACAGTCCTGATGTAGAAAGAGAAACTTAAGATCCTTTTTCTGAAAACAAGTGAACTCATCTCACAAAGGGCAATAGCACTTAGACTTATATGTTGCTTTATAGTGCTTTACAGCCCTCTCTAAGCGGTTTACAAGAGTCAACATATTGCCCCCAACAATCTGGATCTTCATTTTACTAACCTCGGAAGGATGGAAGGTGGAATCAACCTTGAGCTAGTAAGAATCGAACTGCAGGCAGCTGGCAGTCAGCAGAAGTAGCCTGCATTCTAACCTCTGCGCCACTATGGCTCATTGAGAATGATGACTAGAGAGTAGTGTTTTCTATTAAGACCTTATTATGGAACAACCTGCTCCCAAATATGCACCTAGCGCCTTCCTATTTGCCTACAGGAAGTTGGTTGAATTTGTCTTTTTGAATGATTTTAAGGGGCTGAGTTGGATTGCTGATTGTATAAACATTCATTGGTATTTGTATACTTTGTTTGGATAGTTTGAATTTTGTGGAAACTGTTAGGATTCATTTTTTTGGTAAAAATATTTGTAACAAACAAGCAAATACGTAACAGAATTGTGGCATTTTAGTTTAGAAAGCAGACAAACCTATGGATGTTAGAGGAATGAACAAAAATTACAAGGTGGATTTGCAACAAAATATTCTAATGTGGATTCCAGCAAATCCACTACTTTCCAAGCTTTCCCAATTTCTTTCTCTCCACCACCAAATTTATCTATTGTCCCATAGATATTAAATAAACCCAGTTTTCATAGTACTGTCTACTGAAGTACCCGACCCCACCTCCTTTTTTTTTTTTTTTTTTTTTTTTTTCTACAATTGTCACGCTGCTTTGGGTTTGCTAGTAGTATAAACTTTTAGTTGAGGCTTCTTTGAAACAGTGGTGGTTCCAAAGTTTGGAATTAAATGGGAACAAGTGAAGTCCCTGGCAAAATGTCAAGTCAAATCTGAAATTATAAGACTTGCAGCTGTGTTTCAATCATGAATCCATTTCTTAGAAAAGAATTTGTAACTATACCTGTTATAAATGTGAACTGATATGAAGGTAGTCCCTAAACTTTCTAAGAATTCTATGGGTTCTTCATGTGCTAATTTCTTTAGTGACTATTCTATTTAGAATAGGTTTGCTCCTTTCTATTTCTATAGAGTGCTGTTGATTATGTTATCTCATTCACTCTTTCAAGCCAGACTTCAGCTGTTGATAGTGCCAAGAAGATTCTTCCGCAAAGTATATATTTTGTTCCCTCCCTTCCTTCTGCATTCTCTTCTACCATTTGTGAATAGTATCTCGTTCCTCCCTAAAATACTAGTACTATTTGGTGCTTCTCCATATTGATTGTGGGAGAATGAAAAATAAAAGTTCTGTTTAGAACCTTTTATTACAACATGCCTTGGATCTTAAGCATACATGTTCTCTGGCATATCCTGAAATTCTTCTAAAAACCAATGCCCGTGTACTCTTAATGGGTGCTTCTGGAAGTTCCTTGGCAGTCCAACAGAAATCTGGCAGTCTAAAGGAAGAGAAAGAGATGCATCCACAATAATGATGGTCCACATCAACCCAAGTCTTTGTATCCTCCCTATGTACATTTCTATATTTCCCATAAAAATAATGCTGAACGGGAACTGTGTAAGTTATAGTCCAACACACTTAGAAGCAGCGATATCTTGGGGAAACATGCATTTCAAACTGGGGTCATCCCTTTATTTACTTATTAAATTTATATGCTATCCATCTCACTCTGCAAAGTGACCCTGGCCAGCTTTTAGGCTGATTAGTGGTATTCTCAGGATAGACCAATTGTTAGTTGTGAAGTCGTG